CATTTTAGTGCATTTTCTTGGTTTTTAGGGCATTTTTAACTATTTGTTCATAAAAATGAACGAAAATTATGAAAGAAGGATATTATCCAACTAACGACAATCATTTTTGTTTTAAAATATAAGACAGCATATAATTATACAATGTAATAGCAATTTTGTTCAGGTTAGTAATAATGACTAGCAAAAATATTTTAAAACATTAACAATTTATTTTAAATTATAATTTAGAATCAATGAAAGAAAACAATAGTATAACAGAACTAAACTAGTAACAACGTACAATACTATAAAAAAAATACACTAGTGTGGTATAATTTAAAATTTTTTTTTTCATTTTTTAAGCTATAATAAATTTAATTGAAATGCTTTTTATAGCTCATTTTTTTAAGTACATTTTTTGAGATATTTTAGGACATTAAAATCTCAATCCTAGTTATAACTTATTTTTTATTTTATATTTAATAGTATTCTGCTGGTTAAAAATGTAACTATGATCATGGGTGCCCCATAAGTAAAACTTTAAAAAGGAGCTAATTTTGCTTTTCAATTTATGAGCTATCATATATTCTCAAAAAGGTAACACTTATTCAATTTTATATTATTATTATTTTTCTAGAGAAAGGAGGGAGGCAAGTGCACAATCTTGCCTTCCCCAATGATCGCCCTTTACTATGATTATATTTAGAGAACAAATTATGTAAAATTGTTAGACCTTAAATAATTTCTAGTTATGCCACTGACTGTACTTATAAATTTAAATGTTATTTATATACATGCTATCAATATTAGAACAGTGATAAGACTTACGAATGCAAGCTTGCAGGTTATATATATATTATAAAAATGAATATCGCATACCTAGGGCCGTGCCTAGGGGGTGCGAGAAGTTAGGTTAGTTGCGTGTGCACCGGGTGCCATGAACACTGGGGTGCCAAAGCTTTTTCATAATCTAAGTAATATTACTGAAAATTAACCATATTATTTAATTCAATATATATATGTTACGGTAAAAAATGAATATTGGTGAATGTCGTCATTCTCCGGTGAATGACGTCTTTTACCAAAATGATTCGATTATGTAAGATAAATGATGTAAAAAACCAGATTTTAAATTCGAATGTACATCTTTCACCGGTCATTGATGTTATTTACCAAAACTAGTGGTAAATGATGATAAATCTCAAATAATACACTGATTTTTTTACTATAGGTACTATTTATAATAATGATTTATTGTTAAAATAAAAAAATAATAAAATAATAAAATACGTGCATATTACAAATTATTTATTTGTACAATTTTGGTGACTATAAAATTTTGAACTGCACAACATTTCCACTGCATTGCAAGCACATTTTTTAGTATCACAACCAGTTTTGCAGTTGCATCGATTAAATCCTTGATGACCAGCTATTCCATGTCCTGCTGCTTCTCTTAATGTTATTTCCCTGTCTTTAAATTTTTCATGGCTTCATCTAGCTCTAGAAATTATTCTTTACATGGAGAAATTTGTGCTCGTGTATATTTGTGTTTCAACACCTCATATTCTGTCATTTCTATCATTTCTGTCACAAATTTTTACAAATAATATTATAAAACACACATTCATAGCAAATACAACTCGCTATAATATACCCATCGGTACTAACTAATAAACTAAAAGATTATCTCACATTATTACTCGGGTTATCGACGTTATTGCTAGTTGGGATTTTCGTTTATAAAAGTATTAAACATCATTCTCCAATTAAACTGGTGATTGACGACAGTAACCGGAGAATGTCTGCATTTACAACGTTTACCAATTTTTAGGTAAATGATGTCATTTACCGGGGAATGACGTCTTTTACCACATTTACATCATTCACCGTAACATATATATAACACGTTTACGCCAGGGTCTCGACGCGAAATCGACATTATTAACATTGTCTTGATCGGCGGAGTTGCTAGTTTATTTTTAGTATTGGTATTTATTTTTGCACCGAAATCGGCTAGATGATAAACTAACAATAATATATCATTTATATTCTATTATTATTGTTACTTGTTGTAATTAATTTAATAACATTAATAACATAAACGAACATCGACTTGACCGAGTTGTACGGTTTTATTTTGAACCCGTCTATGATAGTGTTCACATCAAAGCTCATGAATGCAAAATTGCATAGGTACCTAATTATTTTTCATCAGCAATCAATTAAAAACGTAAGTTATTTTTTGTGTAATCGAATAAGTTTAATTTGCAAATAAATTAAACTGATTTAGAATGATAAGTTATTATCTACCTATATGTTTAATTCTACCTATAAAATTATTTTTATAGAGTTTTTTTTTTTTATTTAAAGAGCTCTTAGAAATACTATGAAGCTCGACAATTATAATAAAATACATCGATTAATTTATTAAAATACAATTAGATAAAACATATGACATAAAAATATTAAAATAATAAAAGATTGTATGCAGAAACCAGCCTTGTGAACGAAGGAAATAATTAAAATGAGAGCAGATTTTGAAATTTAGAATGCTAAAAGTATTGAATGGGTTATTAAGAAACTAATAATAATATTGCGTTTGGTAGGTAGAGAAGGGCAATCAAAGATAATATAAGATAAAATACAAATTTGTTTTCTTCTAAATGGAGTGTGCAAAGAAGGGAACAGTAGCATAACTTGATGATAAAGGGCCCATGTGAAAATGTCCAGGCTTATATTATTAATTATTGTTATTATATTAAAACAAATAATATAATATAGTAGAAATATTGTAAGGGACAAAGGCAATATCAAAACAGATCTTGGGGCCCCCCCAAAACCGGGGGTCTCTGTGAATTTTACAACCAATACTCCCGATAATTGCACCACTGGAAGGGAATCATTAAGATTTAATTTGCAAGCAAGAAGGTAAGAGATGCGTAATCGGTTTAATTTGATTATGAAGGATGTGGATACAGTAAGATTGTTGAACCATACTTTGTCTGGTATAACGGGAACTACAGATTTAAATCTAGGGGCAAAATTTGCGGGTAACTTGTTCATGTAAGTAGATCCGGGTGAGAAAACATGGCGTCGATGAATCAGTTTGAATTATATTACTTATATTGTTCTTTAATCGTTGATTATTTCTTTTATTAATTTAATAAATATAAAATAAGTAGTTATATAAAACCCTCTATTCTTAAGTTGTCTCCTTTACAGCTTATGCTTAGCAATAATTATAGGTTCAAAAATATTTTGTAGAGGGTTGAGTGCGCTAAAAATGATTTTTGAAACCGGGCGCTAATTATGCTAGGCACGGTACTATGCATACCTGTATTTATGAACTGGCTGATCGTTGCTTATCAATGTTTATTAATTAATTTACAAAGTGTAACGTGATATTTAATAATGATTTATAGCTAATAAAAATCGTAATGCTTACAAACAATATTATCATTATGTACTTGTGATTAATTACTCAGTAACTAAGCAATAGAAACAATAATATGATTTTCTTTTATGTTTTAATATTTCCAAGGTAATAATTATCTTTTCAGATTAATGTACAACGGCATGTACCTGTTTCCTTTATTTAATCAATCTAATTAATAAAATAGAACTAACAAATAAATAACAATTTCAATAACTCACAAGTTTTAAAAAAATCGTTGTAAAATATTTAATGATTGCCTGTTATTCTGATCACACTAGTTTGGCCATCAAGATATTATAAAAACTATGAAACGTTAAACTATAAAAGTGAAATGTTTTTTTTTTACCATTTTACCATTCAGTCACAAAAATATACAACTCAATATTGATTGTTTTTTTATTTACCCTTTGATGTCTCCAATATCCAATATGGAAACATTCCACCACCTAATCAACAATTATAAGGCCGCGCGCACATTGTGTACGAATTTGTTTCGTACGAAAACGTACGAATACTGGTCGTACGAATTGATTGCGCACATTGAATACGTTTTTTTTCCGTAAATTTTATTTAATTTATTCATTTATCCATTGCCGGCGTACGAACGTTAATGAAATCCGGACAAGTTCGGATTGTTTTCGTACGTCAAAGTTACACGTACGTATACGTACGAACAAATCGCACCAAGTCTGCGCGCTCACATAGTATTTGGTAAATCGGGATCATTCATGCGTGTACGTACAAGTTCGCACGAATCAAATTCGTACGAAAACGCATTCAATGTGCGCGCGACCTAATATTTCAGTCAAATTCAATCTCACAAGAAACCATCCATTAAATGTTATTTATATATTGTTAATTATCTATTGATCATCAGCTTATAATTAAACATATTAGGTTCGATGTGTTATTGATTTTATCAACCGATATGCTTTATATACTACCTACTCGTATATTAATATAAATATTGATATTAACATTCCACTACTTTTATCAACATAACTATAAGGTATCTTTTTAACAATAGTTTGTTCTCTTGCTAGTTCTAAAATATTTTATATCTTATTTACATTGATTTTTTTTTTTTTTATACATACATATATACTATACGTTTATGCTTCTAAACTTTGTTTATTTACATATTAGTTATATATCATTTAATAATAATAATAGTTGTAGTTGTATGAATATTATGTATATTATTAAAAATTAGCAGTATTAATAATATAATATTAATATTTATTGTATTTATAATTTATTATTATAATACAATATAAAATAAAATAAAATAATATTGGACATATGTGGTTTTTTGTCGGCGGCATTTTTTTTTTTTTTTACTTATATATGTATAAAACTGTTGAAAAATCAAATAAATTATATAATATAACACAACCTATTAATTAGACAGTTAAATATTTGAACGTGATAATTATAAGACAGAAATATTTAAAACAAATTGTTCAACATTTAAAATGAAAATCATTAATGTAAAATAGTATTATTGCTTTTCAATATAATCAAAAACAAGAAGAAATATCAATAATAATTACTTCTACAATTAAAAAAAAAAAATTGTACGTATAAAAAATGAAAGAAGTTTGTATTTTCAAGTCATCAAGAAATACAAAATACCGGAGATTCAGTTTCCATTAAAAACAATTATTAGTATTAAAGAAAGACAATATAATAATTTTTTTTAATTTACTATCCTGTTGACAATGGTATTTAAGATGTACATTTCTTGTGGTTTAATTGGGCAACGACATGCTATCTGTGGTCAGAGCACTGTACATCTTGATGACAACCAATTGAGCGCAGCAGCACTTCCACCACCTTGACCAAGTTTCTTTGGCCCATTATTGTCTCGTAAATGGTGACCACTGGATTGTACACCACCTTTTGGAGGATTAGATGCTTCCTTCAGATAAAAAATTAATCTAATTAGAAACCACATTTTATATATTAATTGGAGAAAAATAATTGAAATTTTCCAATGTCAACAATTAAAAAATTTTAATTTTTTTTTCTGTCAGCAAATAATTTGTTACTATAATAGTTTGAATTGAAGTGTTAAAATAATATTAAAAAAAAAAAAAATTATAAAATACAAATAGCTTTGTTACTTGAAATAAATATTTACATATTTCTAATTGAGTATTAAAAGTTTCATAGTACACAGTTACATAAATTGATAAGATAATAAGTAAACATTTTAAAACATTTTAAAAGTTCATAATAGATTAAATAAATTGTAAATAATAATAACAAAACAAAAGAAAAAAAATGAGTTATAATACATAACTCTTGAAATAATGACAACATTATTTATATTTTATTTACTTCTACTAATTAAAATACTGCATTACAATTTTACAAACTCTTAAATCAATAAATTAAAACTCAAAACACTATACTATCAGAGATAATATTATCTATGATACTGCTACTCAAACTTGCACACATATACACACACTCTAACCTTCTATGTAACACCAACATCGAGTTGAGAAATTAAAATAAATCCATAAAATCCAACGTTGACAGCAACAGCCAATGGATGAGATTTAAACAAATATAGTAAAATAAACATATTAATTATACACAATACAATTAAATGGATAGTTTTTAAGAAATAAATAAAAAATATATAATCTGAATAAATATTAATTTTAATAAACTAACCAATTTCTTTTCAGTTTTTGTCTTGATATCTCTGGCCAAAGTGTGAAAAGCTTCCTCAACATTAACACTTGCTTTTGCTGAAGTTTCCATAAATTTTATACCATATTCAACTGCTAATTGTTCACCGCGTTCCTTTGATACCTAAAACATGAAAATCCAATAATAAATATAGCATATTTATTATAACATCATGTCATATTATGTATAAAAACCAACTTATATTTTCTTAACCTGAATAAGTATAAAAGTAGTGAATGGTTCTTAATAATATTAAATCTATTTTTAGTTAACTAATAGATAAAATCTGGTGCTAATAAATAATTTCTACTAGCAGTATCATTTACCTGACGTCCTGAGCTTAATTCACATTTATTTCCTAAAAGCATTTTTTCAACATCAGCTGATGCGTTTTCTTCAATGTTGCGTATCCAATTTTTGATGTTATCAAAAGACTTTTCATTTGTAACATCGTAGACTAACATAATTCCCATTGCACCACGATAATAAGCAGTTGTTATTGTCCTAAAACGTTCTTGGCCAGCAGTGTCCCTAAAAACATAAAATTACATTTTTACAAGAAATGTATACACCAGCAGAAATTATATCTAACAATTTAAACAGCTACACAGCAGGGTATTTAAGGATAATAATACTGCTGATGGTGATAGCATACAGTACACAGGAGGGACTTACCAAATTTGTAATTTTATCTTCTTGCCGTCCATTTCGATGGTACGTATCTTGAAGTCAATACCAATTGTGGATATGAACGTTGTGTTGAAAGCGTCTTCACTGAAACGGAACAACACACAAGTTTTGCCCACACCCGAGTCGCCAATCAGTAAAAGTTTGAACAGGTAATCGTAGGTTTTTGCCATCGCGGATGGTTTGGTCACGGATGTAGACTGATGACGGTGATGCGTTTACGGGTCAGTTATGGGCCGCAGCGGCGTCTGACGAGGTTGAAGGGTAATTCTCGCTCTTCAATGCCGTCCGCGCGTGAATCGCGTTAGGGAGTGAGGGGAAAAAAAACAAACGAGCAAAAATAAACAATGGAAAAAGGCCTAGAATATGCAAGTGAATGCACGCGCGTGTGTGCGTGTGCAAATGGAACGCGTTTCGACGTGCAAAAAAGAGCCTTCACCGAATCGAACTCATAACACTGACGGGGAAAAAAAAAATAAATTAAAAAAAAAAAAAAAAAAAAAGAGAATAAAAAAAATCGCTCAAACGATAGCAGCCGCGGGGCAAATGCGAGTGTGTGCGCGCGCGTGTGTGTACGTTACACCTAATAGAAGCGATCACACGATTTGGCGAACGCGAACCGTACGGACACGACGGATGACATTCGATGCGACGGAACGTTGACGGTCGACTGTAGCAACTGCAGCAGCCGTACGTGCGACGAAAATAATAAATATTAATTATAATAATACAACGTGCGTTAATATTTATGCACTGCAATATAAATATTCGGTTTCCTTGAGCAAAGACTAATAACAATAATAATAGTAATAGTGGTTTAATTTTTTTTTTTTTTTTTTTATCTCGTCACTCACACTCCGCTCATGACTACTACTGAGGGCATTCGTTATCAGCCCTCCTGCTGCAATATCACAACCGCAGACGGCGGCTGCGCGCAAAAAATTAAGAAAAGGAGAAAATAAATGTATCCGCGTACGTGCGAGTGCGAGTGAACGGAACGACGACCGATGGCAGCGGTACCGTGCGTGCGTCGGTGCACAAACCATCTCGGCCGACCGCCGCCGATATCGCCCGATCGCTGTTTTCACGACGACCCGTTCGATCGCAGCTGTTGCTCGACACCGCGAAAAGAATACCTACCGTACCCGTTCCTCGCCCACGCTTCGCGCCCGGTCTCGTCAGAATCATTACGATAGCCATCCCGCCCATCGCTCAAGACACGTAATTGGTGTACAATCAGGGCCGTCCCGAAGATGAAAATCAATGGGAGGGGGGGGGGGGTGAATAATATGAATAATTCCGACTACAATTTTTTTACTCAATGTATGTAGTATAATTAACTATACGTAGTAATATTTTTACTTCTTAACATGTATATATGTTTCAGTGTTGTATGTTCTTAAAATTGACAATTTATTTATATATATATATATTTTATATTGTAAAATAAGTAGTAACATAAATTTTATTCGTGTATACACTGTATTACGAAATATGTAATATTTGTTTTCCGTAAGTAAAATTAGGTGCGTCTAGGCTATAATGAAACGAGTTCAGCTGCCGACTGGTGTTTTCGTCGGGGGGAGACACCCCCAAGTACCCCACCTCCCTTCGGGACGACCCTGTGTACAATAATGATATTGTTGCGTGTGCGGTGCAGCGGTGCCATTACGTGGAGGGGGCAACTCTTGCCGCGGTCCAGAGTTTAGCTATTCCATAATCGGCCCATCATCAAAACACGTATATACATCTTAGAGCCTTGAAAATGTTGAAAATCAGGTAGAAACGAAACGCGTATTATAGGTGCACTCATTTATGTATCAAGTACAAATCATTACATATTTGGACTGGTATGACGTCCCTTTCTCCCTGCGTTTAGTAAAATGAGCCACAGGGTAGGCATTTTAATAACAACATGCCGACTGCCGTACCCTGGAAATGAAATGACGCCTTTGGTGCAACGGGCACGGCATAGATTCGCAATATCGCTTTATCAATCGACGATTCGCCCGGGTGATTTCTTTTTCTTATGTCACGTCTAAGAGATTATAAAATATTTGCAATACCCGGCTGATAAGAATTCATGTGCCAACGGTGATGATAACGCGCAGTGATTATCTAGGCCGACGACCACTACGGTCTGTAGTTGTACGTTTTCCGTGGCGATTACGTCCCGTTGTCTGGAATTAATTGCCGTCCGTCCACGCGAACACCTCGTTACGCACGTGAGTCTTGGACTTGCTCCCGCCGACAGTGTAACGACCCTCCGCTAACTCCAAAATGGTGGTAAGTATGCTTACAAAACGTCCGTGTACAAGGTGCATCAATGATCGCTAAATGGTTTTTCTAATATATTTTTAGGGTGTAGCGATGAGAAAAAAAATTAACACCACGCCACCGACTGTGAGGTTTGCCGGAACGACAACAGTTATTGATCGCCATGGTATACTGAGAGTCGAAAGTCGACGGCAGCAGAAAATCCCAACGGAGAATGGTCGGGATTATGATGATGATAATAAATTCAAGTTGAGCCGTACTTGCATATACTCAACCATTGTTTTGCTGTTTGCAATTATGATGTTGTCATATCGTGGCTATTTAGACACACGAGCTGTTAATTATCCCTATCAAGGACCAAAAGTATATCCTGAGTTATACTATTTCATTTATTAATTTTTACACAAACATTGATATTTAGTTTTCAACATGCAAAAGCTATTTTAAATAAGTTTTATTTAAAATTACTCTTATTTTTAATCAAATTATTTAAAAATAATGAATACTTTTCATTCAATTTACAAATTTTTAATTAAAAGTAAATACAATTTTTTTAAATAATTTATACATTTTTTTTTCTTAATTTAAAATATTTTTGTTTAGCTATATAACTTCCAGTTTTTGATAGTTCATTTTCAATTACATTTTTTTATATATATACATTTATATATAATATATATATATATATATATATAATTATAAAATAATGTTCAGTCTTATTTTTAAAAATTACATACCAATATATATTATGTTGCGTGCCATCAGTTCAACAATTCTAAGGTTAGGAAATGTGATAAAATACTTCAAATAATAAATCAAATTAAGTTAAACTCTATTTATAGTAAAATATTCTAAGTCCAAAAAATTTAATTTATTTAGTAAGTTAATTGGCGTAAAGGTGCTTGCTACAATCTGACTATAATACATCTGCCTATGGGTCTGTTCCATACCCTCTTATCTCCCTATACTTGTTTTAACATCTAAATTATTGTTTCATTTCTTATTACCAGTGTTCGTAAAATGCCTAAATAAGCATGCATTTATGCACTTAAAATTGGCAAAATATGCCTTAAAAAGTTAAAAAATTGTGCATTTATATACACTTAAAAAATGCTTACTTAAAAAAATCATAAATAATTATAGAAATAACATGAATTATCCTTTAATTTTTTAATAGTTATATTTTATTTTTTATGTCACAATTAAAAAAATATATTTTAAATACTATTTTTTACTATTCCTAAATGCTCATGAACTGCTTATAATATACATATTTGTCAGTAATTAATTTTAAATCTAAACTTTTGAAACAAATTTATTTATTAAATGTACAAGTATCAAGAAGATAAGAAAAGAAAAGATAGATAGTACAATTTCTATATTTAATTTTATATATATTTTCCATTTCGATTTTTGATAAATTCTAATAGAATGTTGTATAATATGCCCGATAAAATAGAAATATGCATAAATATACCAAATATAAAAAAACATGCCAAATATGCAAAATAAAATTTCACATACTTAACCGTGGTACCTTGAAAAGTCATTTAGCTTTAAATACAACTTTGTTAAATTGATATGCAAATGCATGAACTTACGAGCCCTGCTTATTACTATCAATAATAGTATTTGGCTAATAATATGTAAATCCCTATACAAAGTTTTTGACTTGTACTTTAGTTATGATTGTGCGCCCAACCCTGGATTACTTATACAATTGTTTGGCCTCGTGAATTCTGCATTTTGCATAACCACTTTTCACATGTCTTATATTCCATTGTGTAATTTGTATTTACATACTATTTGGAATACGCTCATAATCCTTTAGCAATTGCAACCGTACTACTGGTACCTATGTATAATGATTATATAAGAGTTAGTCAAGTATTATTTATGTGGTATGTGGTCCTGCCCATATAATGTTACTTGTAAGGACATACATCTATGTAACAATTATAATAAATATAATTATATTTAATTTTAAAGTATTTCTTATAAATATATCTATTTAAAATCTAGTTTAACAATTTTTTTATTTCAGGTTTTACAGAAAACTAATGAACTCACAATATGGGGTACTTATAGACCTGGTGCTTATCTAGGGCTACGTACCAAAGAATCGTTAGGAAAAGGTTCTGTTGCTGCTGGTCTTATGTGGTACACACAAAAACATTTAATGAATACTGGATCAATTGATTCTTCAATACGTCATATGTGTGATAATTCTCATGAAAATCTAGTGTATGGTTATGTTGAACATGACACTACAAACTATGGACATCAAGTTATTAATGATGGAAAAGAAAATGGATTTACATTACATACAATATTTTTACGACCTGATAAAGATGTTAATACTGGTACATCAAATACTGATTGGACTACCCGAATCATTTATGAAACAAATAATACAGCATCATCAATGTCCCTAGTATGGTATGTTTATATTGATCCTGGAGATGAAGATCAATTTTTAGATAGTCGAAAATATTCTCTTGATGTACTGCAAAATGAAGATAACTCAGTAGATATCCCTCTTGCAACAATAATGGGCTCTACACCTAGTCTAAGCGACTTCAAAATGTCTTTAATTCCTCTTGCATCTAATAATACCAATAATTTAAGTAAATTTACAGTACATATAAATACAAGTTATAGTAGTTTATGGTGTCCTAATGCAGCCATGTTAAAACAATGTTTAGCTAAAACAATGGCTGTTAAACGACCAATAGTAAAAGATAGCAGAACTGGTTCACAAATCATGCTTGTGAATGAAAAGTTAAATAAACATGATGGTGAACAAACATCTAATCTTTTAAAAAATTTTCTAGCAGTTCAAGTGACAATTAGCCATAGCAGAAAAAAATCGACTGAAAATACATCAAACCTTAAACATTTCAGGTATGCACTAGATGTGGCATATATTCAAAAAAATAGAAAATCTGATAGAGATGTATTTAAAAATACAGTTCCATTATTAATTGGTGATACATTTGATTTAGTACAAACCAAATACAGTAATAGATTTAATCAAAAATTTGAAAAGACATTTCCAATTAATATTAACAGAGAAAACCCTGTCGAAATATCTTTGTTAATGAAATTTGCAAAAGTTACTTTTAGTAATATGGCTGGAAGTATAGGTTTCTTTTATGGGTCCTCTCTAGTTAGAGATGATGATAATGAAAATAATCTAAATAACGTTGGTGTATCAGAAATAGAAATAGTAGATGCTGTGAAATATTGGAGAGCCGGACTACTGACAGCAGTACCATCAAGATCTCAGTTTCCTAGAGGTTTTTTGTGGGATGATGGTTTTCATGGCTTAATGTTAGGAAGCTGGAGTATTGAATTACAATTGCATATTTTAGGCCATTGGATGGATTTATTAAATTATCAAGGATGGATACCTAGAGAACAAGTAAGAAAATATTTTAAAATTATTAAATAAATTTAATACATTTTATGTTCAATTTTCTAATTACTTTATATCTAACGAAATGTATTAATTTTCAGATCCTTGGCTCAGAAGCTAGATCTAGGGTACCAAAAGAGTTCATTGTTCAAAGTTCACGAGCTGCTAATCCACCAGCACTGTTACTTACTGTTGATTTATTATTAAGACAAATTAAACAATGTCGACAAACAAGCGATATTAATAGCGATAGTAAAAATGAGAAATTAAACTTTAATGAAATCGATGATACATTAAGAAAATTATATCCAAGATTGAAAGCATGGTATGCTTGGTTTAATCGTACTCAAAAAGCAGTAAACAATTATACTAAACATTCTAAATCATCAAGTAATTCTAATAATATGAAATTAGATGTAAGATTTATTGGATATCGTTGGAGAGGACGTGATGCAACAACTAATAGGGAACTTAATCCAAAAACGTTGACATCAGGCATGGACGATTATCCTAGATCATCGCATCCAGTTAATGATGATGGTACTTTAAATTTACCTATTAATAGTGTTTTAAACGAAGGAAATGATTTTGAAACATCTGAGCGTCATGTTGATTTACATTGCTGGATGACCCATGGTGCACGGATCATGAATAATCTTCATAACTATCTCCAACCATCGATAATAACTAATTTTGAAAATAAATATTCTACACACTTTTGGATGCTAGTTGAGAGTTTAGATCATCTACATTGGACGGAGGGAAATAGTGACTCTTCTCAAAACCTTGCATCCAAAATACCAATGTATGCAGATTTTGGTATACATACTGATGATGTTAGATTAGAAAAAGTAAAAGGAATGCAAGATTCTGTGCGAATTGTTGGACGAGTAGATCCACCTAAATGGCGTTTTGTAGATTCTCATGTTGGTTATAATGCCCTATTTCCTATGTTTTTCCGATTAGTAAAAAATTCAGATCGTTTAAATGCAATACTGGATCTAATAGAGGGAGTTAATAATGATAGTACTGAAAACCTTGGTCTATTGACCAAAGGTTGTGGCTTAAGATCGTTATCAAAAACTTCACCATTATATAAAGTAAAAAACACTATGCACGACCCTCCATATTGGCGAGGCTCTGTTTGGATTAATATGCAATACTTAGCTTGTTCGTCATTATACTACTATGCAAATCTACCTGAAGACACTGAATCTACGCATACCAATAATGATAAGTATAATAACTTAGAACCAATACGTCACTTGGATGTAAAAACCAAGCAAAGATGTAGACAATTATATAATAAAATACGCAATGATGTCATTCAATGTGTATACAATGAATGGAAACGCACTGGGTACGTGTGGGAGCAGTATGAAGATGAACCTGTCACAGACTCTAAATTTGGTTTAATTCATAAAGGCAAAGGAACCAGACCATTCACAGGGTGGTCAGCAAATGTTGTACTTTTAATGGCTGAAATTTATTAAAGTCTTAAAGATAAATGCATTATTTTTGTTGTTTATAATGAAGTAATATTATGCATCATGTGCATGATTAAATTCATTTACGCTATATATAAATTCTTATGGATGGACAGTTAATAAGTACTATTATTTTGATATTTATAGATTAAAGGGTGGGTGCTTAGACAATTTTTGTTCATCTAGTCTTATGACTTGTTAGTCATCAAAATGTTTTTGTTACCAAAATTAAATATTTTAAAACAAAACACATTGGACATTTGTTTTAATTATTTGCATTTTATATAATATATATTTTACAATTTTATCATTAAATATTCCAAAACTATGTTAAATAGTGCTAAGTATAATAATGTAAGTACAAACTATTAAACTGTAATAAATTACATACTATTAGTACAAAATAAAATTTAAGTTGTGAATTATGATATATATAATAAAAAAATTGTTTTTGCATTAGGAAACAGATTTTACTGTTATCACGGCCTATTACTATGTTATACTGTTTTAAATAGAAATAAATTACTATTATGATTTTTTATTATAATTGAATTTTTACGTACTTAAGTAAAAGTACATATTTTTAAATGTTTTGTCAATAAATACTTATTTTGTATACATTTATAAAGGTGTATTATTTAAATTGTTTCTTAATATTACACATACCTAATTATTTGTTTTTTTTCAGTCATTGTCAGTATTTATTATTTTACGAAAAATATTAACTTCAACAATTTATTTAGTGCAAAGTTTTTATAACATTTCAAAATAAATTTGATTTACAGACAGATGATTGAACAATAAAAACTGTCTAGTTAGCTATAAGAAATCATAATACCATAAATACAATAGTTCGATACAGGTACAATAATTGATTCTCATAATTCATCATATAAATAATCACTAAAATGATTAATTAACATAGTTAACAACTTCATTAATTAATTTATGATACCTACCTAACTACCATTTTTCAGAGAAAAACAATTTTAATAATTTATTGATATTTAATCTCTAAATTGTGAATGACTAATTAATAATAATAAAATAAAACAAATTTAGTAAATGGTTATTACTCCTAAATGTAATGACTATTTATTTTTATTTATTTAATAAGTTATTAAATACATATTAGTAACTTAGTTTATTTATAAGAAATAATATAATGTTAATTAAATATGTTAATGTTAACTAAATTTTTCATTTCTATGGTAAATTAAAAAACATTTAATTGAGTAACATTAAATTAAATTTACACTACATTTGACTATTTCAGTAATGTTAATTAATAGTAAAGCTGCGTCCACACCAAACAAACAATTAAAAAACGTTTGTCGAACTTCGCCGAAATCCAAGAATATCTAGCAACGGTTGACGAATGTTTTTCGAACGTTTGTTTTGATGTAGACGTGTTTTCAAATCAATTTGTTTGTCAATAATCTAAACTAAAATGTTCGCTTGCTACGCGAACATTTTGCATAAATATTTGTACTTGTACATTGATGTTACTCTATTTACATAATTATAAATTTAATTCTAAATAATTAAAATAGTGGAACTTTTCTACTTTATGAGACACCCTTTTTTTTTTACATTTTTTTTTCGAATTCTAAGTAAATCGACGTTTTAAAAATGATGGTGGAAAAAAATGTGCGCAAAGTATTAGTTTTTTTGGTATACAACTTTGAAATTTACGTATTTTACAATGTAATTGTTTCTTTATTTATATACTATTATAGGCTAATCAGTTTCTACAGTGACTGATGTGGGAAAGCGTTAATCAAATTATTTGCATTTTTTATGTTATATTATCTACTAAAAACAATGTACCTTGAGACCGGGTGGGGTTACTCGCTCTCTCGGACAGTTCAAAAACGAAAATATCCCCCAATTTGCTATGGAATTCCACCCCAAGTAGGTCACAGGATAAAATAAAATACGACAAATATAATAATACGACACATAGATATGGCACACGGTAGAAATTGATGAATCAAAGTTTGGACGATGTAATGACAACGGCGGGGACAACAATAAAAATGATAGCGGTTCAGTGTCAACGTAGATAAAATAATGGGTGCCACTGATATAATGGAAAAAATTAAAAAACAAATTATTTGAACCCAACTTCGATCTTAAGGATCTACAAAAAAAAAAAATCTATTAAAAAAGATTAAAGATTACTATTAAGATTATTATTATTATTAAAGATCTATTTACTATTACATTGCCATGGTAGGTATACCATGGCAATGTAATAGTAAAACGACCGGGCCATGTCGACCAGCGACATGATACTTTTAAGTTATTGAACATATTATGTAGGTACTAACTTTGAAGTGTCGTAACTTCGAAACTATGCCCGAGCGTCAAATTCTGATTTGACCGTCGTTTTCAGTGTACTTAACTATATATGTTTCAAAAAAAGAATTGCAAAATAAAATGTGTCTCGTAAAGTATAAATATACCATAATAGTTTTAAAAGATAATATTTATTAAAAAATATACGAAGTCTTAAATTTTAAAAATCAATGTCAAGACACTCTGGTAAAATGACTAAATAATTCACTGTCATGCAGTGGCGTAGACAGGGGGGTTTTGGGTGTTTACCCCCTCCCCCTCAATTGTCTTTCCAAATATAATAAATGTATTATTTATATCAGGCGCGTAGCTAGGTATTTCAAAAGGGGGGATGTTATTTAAAATTATACACAACAAAATAATTACTTTACGTATACTTTATTGTACAAGCATACAAACAAATTAGTACATTATACATGAATATATATTCATATGTAATGTAGGTACTACTCTATGAGAAAGTATTTAAATATTTTATTAACATTTCAAATGTACATTTTTGTCATATGTACCTATTTTACATCGTGTATGATACGACACAAAACTACGGCTTTGGTTTATTAGACAAAACGGTGTAATGAGAAGTCGGATCCCGGCTTTACATTATTGCTAAATACCACATATATATTTCGTTATGATAAAAATGTTTTCATCACGGTTCATGATGAATTTTTACCTTTTTAAGACTTAATTGTAACACGGTTAAAGGGGGGTGTTACTACACCTGTAACACCCTCCCTGGCTACGCGCCTAATTTATATTATTGTATATTTATAATATTACAGCCGGAAGACGTTTTAATTAAATTAGCTATAAAAACAAGAAGAATACGTTTGTTGTAGATACATGGTTAATATTATAGTTCTGTTCATAATATTATTTGGATTTGTTATGTATACTTCTATAAACAAATAAAAAATATTAAATCTTTATTATGAGGTGTTTATAACATATAATTATAATATTGTATATTCACAAGTTCACAACTTAACTTTGTTCTTGAATAATTCAATTGAGCAACAAATCTAACGAAAACTAAAAAAAAAAACTAAGTTTAATTTACACTTAACCCCTTCTCCCCTTACAAAATCCTGGTTACGTCACTGCCGTCATGTAAATCTAAAATTAAACTATCACTACAGTAGTTTTTCTTCACTGAAAAAGTTGTCTTTCCCACCATCTCCTTACATTTTTTTTTTTTTATAACACATATCAAATGCAACAGCGCCAATGACACATACAACTTCTTCTAAATCAGACATGGTCACAAATGTTGGCGAACATATAGTACTAATTAAATTATGAACAAACCGTTTGTCGGGTGTGGTCGCAGCTTAACATATACATTAGTAAACAAATAGTATCAGTGTTTGATTATGTTATCAATTTGAAAATCGAATATTATCATTTGACATTTATCAAAACTCAAAAGTAAAACTCTATGGTTCATGAAATATTTTTGCTAACTTCACTATTTCGTTTTAATTCAAAGTAATAATTATTATTCGTTACAAAAATGCTGATGGCGTTAAATCGGCATATGTTACATAATAGCCTTTTAAAGGTTCAACAACATATTGCAACCTCTGGTACCACATTAAAAGCAGCCGCATCTACTGCACTGATCAATAACAATGTAACTCAGACAGTTAGATCTATTTCATCTCAACAGCAATCATCCTCTTCAGACAGTGATGGAGACGATACTTTAAAAAAAAATCCATACTACAATACATATGCTGAAAAATTGCGTGCTCTTAAGAAGTAATAAAAGAAGAATATAAGTAAATAATGCTCTTTACTAATATTGTGTTTATATATGTACTAAAGAAAAGATACTGATGCATACCGTGCAGCTCTACAACGTTTACGACAAGATCAACAAAAAGCTGACAAAACTGTTGATGAAGCCGTAGAAACTGTTTCAGATGTATCTGATCAAACTGACAGTATTGCAACTAAAACTCCAGCAAAACCTAAACGTAAACTATCACGATCACTACAAGTTAAACCAAAAGTACATCTGATCCTATATTTATTTTCTTAACTATATAACCTATTTTTGTAATAATGTATAGACTCTAGATCAAGTTATGAACATGGAATTATTACGCGATAAATCATGGCGAGATGTAACTGAAATATGGTTAGCATACCATAGAAAACGCGATGAAACATTAAGTGCTGTTATTCCTTTAGATCAGTTTAACTTATTTTACAACCAATCGACTAAATATCCAATGGTAGACACTTAAAAATATTTTAAAAACTTTAATTTTGAAATTTTTGATTTTAAATAAATGAATTATAATGTAAATATTTATACTTTCAGTTCATTTTACCACTTCCACGCAATTCTAGTGGATACGAGTTCATATTTGCTCAGTTTCAGCATTACCAAGAATACTCAACGTCCAACTGTACAATACACTTGACACCATTAATTAGTTATCAGGTAAACAAATTAAAGTATTCTAATACTTAACAATGCTATAAGTGTTCGCCAATTTGGTGTCTTTATGGTATAATAACTGATAATAACCATTTTGATTTAATTTTAATTTAAATAATTTTGTTACTATCAAATTTATCAGTTAAAAAGTAATAGAAATTATTATTATTTAATAACTAATCCAAGTACTAGTATAAAGAGCATGTAAAAATGAAAATAATAAATCTGTTTAAGAAGTACTGACATCCCAATATTTTATTTTGGTTTATAGTGTGTAGATTAAGTTTCAAACACATAATAAGTTGCAAAATTATTTTTTTTAAATCTTACTATGTTTGATTTTGAATTCAATATGTATTGCATTTAAATGTGTTACAATTTAAATATTTTCATTATATAAACATAAAAATAAAGACATTAATATACTGTTTTTGTTATTTGATTACAATGGGAATTTCAGACTTACAATGAAAATGCTCCAGAATGTATGACAGTGGAATACTATACAGATCTTTGCAACAGTGATAAAACTACAGACAATGAAGATTCGAATGATGAGAATTATGTTTTAATGAGGGCGACATATGATGGAAAATTGTTATCAGCTACTGAAGCAGCTTGTCTTGTCAACCAATTGCGTATATTCTATGGAATAGATGCTGGGAGTACAGAAAAAGAAAGGCTTTTAAAATTATTCAATGAAGGCGACAAGGATTTCAAACACTCTGAGGTCATCTCTTTGGTAGAAACGTTAAGCATTTCTTAATGACTCCGCTCGGCTGTAGAACTCTTCTTTTTGTTTATATTCATGTTTGATTTTGTGTAAAACATACCGTTTATGAATGCGTGTTTAAAATAAACACTGTTTAGTACAATACTCAATAAAATATATTATTACAATAATAATTTATTTCGCGGTTCTATTTTTCCCCATCTCAATGATGATGATAATAATATTAATAATAATAACAGCATAAAGATTTTTGATAACGGTATTGAAATGAGCGATAGCGTTTACCACAACGGGACGATAACGCGACCGAACGGATGTTGGCAACGGACGTGCGTGGGCCGCACACGATTCTGCGGGCGACCGTGGCCGCCACCTGTCACGCACATCTACTTCATCAGTCGTTCACCTCCTATGGTACTCGAGTGTCAGTTAACGTTAACAGGTGTTATCGCGGTGCGCGCGCACGCACACACACACGCACACACATACGAAGGTGGACGTACCTGCTACTACCACTACTACGTTACCGCGTCGAAATTCGTTATCGGCGTTGTTCTGTGAATTCAGTAACGATACGTACTCGATCGTACGTCGTATCGTCGTCGCACGCTACACCGTTAAGCCCCATCTCTCGCGCAACTACCGAGCAGCACAACCGAGGTCCGGTGCACAGGATTTCACGTGCTACGCCGCCGCATCGACCGTGACATGTCCATCGACAACAACGATCAGCAAGTGGCCGAGCCGACCGTGCGGCTGTGCATGTTGCGCACCTGGCCGGGACACTTCGACGGCTACGGGTTCAACCTGCACGCGGAGAAATCGAAAACGTCCACGGCCAACGGCGGCACCGGTCTGCCGTTCTCCGGCGGCCAGTTCGTCGGCAAGGTGGACCGGGGCAGCCCGGCCGAGAGCGCGGGCCTCAGGGAGGGCGACCGTATCGTGCAGGTGGACGGCGTGGACATCGAGGGCGAGACGCATCTGGCGGTGGTGGCCCGCATCAAGAAGGGCTCCGCCGCCGCCGCCGACGGTACCGAGGACGAGAACGCGACCGACGGCGCCGCGGCGATCAACCGCTGCTCACTGCTGGTGGTCGACCGTCGCGCCGACACGTATTACAAAGAGAAAAAGATCCGGGTGCACGCCAACATGGGTCTGCAGGTGTTGGTGTTACGCACGCCCGACGAGCCGACGCCCGAGTGCCTGTCGTTACAACAGCAGCAGCAGAGCGCAGCCGCGGCCGCCGACGGAGCTCCGAACGCGAGTCCCGGGACGATCGCTGCAGATGGTGGCGCGACGGACAAGCAACAGGTGAGTCTTACCCTCTTTTGTTCGTATCAATTCGTTTCCGTCGTTTAAGGATGTCTGGTCGCTAATCTACCCGGGCATTTTACTCTCGTCCCGTCGTCGCCCACACGAGGTTGGCCTTTTTGTGTTACCGGCTAGGAATAGAGATCGAGCTAGAAAATATATTTCGGTAAAATGTTGGGCGTGGGTGGCAGCGGCGGTAGGCATAGCCAAGGACTTTAGGGCATCGTTATATGACGCGTGAAAAACGCGGTCGAGGACGCCCCCACTTCCGACGTCGTACGCCCGTGGTGCCGTGTTGTCAGGCGTTAGTAACACAGCGTAGATATAATAATAATAATAATAATAATAATGCACCTTGACAGCAATAACTCGTATTTCGTGTAATAATTTTATGCGGAATTAACGTTTTTTTCGAGAGTCTATTTAACAGCCCATATCTGTGGCCAAATCCTACACAGCCGCCTGCGTCGTACAATAATGTCGATGTGACGTGAATACGTAGCCGCGGTTATTTTTTCCTTAACGCAAAGCTACGAGTCCGAGGGATTGGTAGCTTAAACTCGTTAACTTCTCGGGTGATGGATTTCATCCGGTATTGTTAATAGCAATACCCGCTGTATACCGACCGTGTAGTGTGAAACGAATAAACGAGTTTGTACGTCAAACATGGTTCGGACTTCGGTCGGTTTCGACAACAATCACAGGAAGATTTTAACAGTATCGAATAACCAACTATTCGACGACAGTGGGTGATAGAAACAAAATTTATTTCGAAACATGAATAATTTACTTGGCTGTCCGTTTTTCATGGAAATGTATGGTAATTTTTATGTGGGTAGGTGTAATTTAATTGCTTAATGATTTTTTTTTTTAAAAAATAATGTTCATAACTACAATATTATAACGAAATAATATGCAAATCAGCAGTTACATAAATTCAATTTTGTAATTATCATATTTTTAAACAAAGCACTAATTATGTTGTAGAATAGTTTTATTGTTTCTAAATGTTATTTGTTTATACTTATAATACTGAATGTACTTAATGTTTGCAGTTAAAATCGTTTTTAATGGATATCGAAGGACAGTAGTCCATAACATTTAGCCCATTACAACTGATTTTAACTACGATTTGGGTACAAAAACAATTAAATAAAGTGATTTTAATTATTACCTACAATATTAAATAACAATTATTTTATTTTATTTTTTCATTATATCAGTAATTATCTTTAAAGACAAATTTAAGAAGGTAACTTGCCTACTTTTTTTCTATTGACTAATAATAATTCTTCGTATATTATTTATAACAAATTACTAGGTAAATATACGGTTATTTCGTTTTTAATTTATCTTTGTTTACATGAATCGATATTAAGTGCGTTCATTTTAGCATGAAAACAATTTTAACATGAATATTGTTTTAAAGTTGAACCCAAATTTACAAATTATTAATATATCGCCGAAATTATTTTTAACTTATTATTTCTACTACAAATTATAATATATCATAATAAACGTAAATACATGAATTTTATGGGAAAATAAAACTGGTGTTTTTGAACTGTAATGTTTATAAATCGTCATTCGTCGCATTCAAAAAGTTTGTTCTCCGAATATATTTCAGTTACGTTATCTAATATGTTTACAATGTTCCTTAAAAAAAATATTTTACAAATATTTTTTACTTAGATTTGATAATATTTAAGATATTAAAATTTTATTGAGCAGTGTAGTATCTAGTTAAAAAATTTCTGACGGTCATACTCTAAGTCCTGGCATTGCAATTTTTGTATTAAATTGAAACGAGGTATAATAGCATATTGAATCGATAAATTATGTATAAATACAATTTATATGATTTTATAATGTCCAAACACGAACAAATGATTGTAATTTTAGATATGAGTACCATTAATAAATATTAATTTTTTCCACGTTGTAAACTCTTTAAAATGACTCATGCGTGTTTTAAATCGGGACTTACAGAGCGATAACGATGTCACTAAAAAAGCTGCGAACTCAACGACTCCCACTACGACGCTAAATCTGAACATGACGGCCGCGGAGTTACGCCGGCGGTTGGCGGAACGCAAGAAACAAGATTCGCGACGCGCTGGTGGTAATGGAGACGGTTCGTTAGATTTTCGCAAAAAATATGAGATTGTCGACAAATTATGAAAGTGCCTGATCTTGGACGTACAAGCGCACACGGCACATCCACACACATACACACACACACATTTTAAAGTAAACACATCAGTTTATATTAAGTTAAAATAATTAAAAAAAAAAAAAAATGTATCATAGCATTTAGATTATACTTTTAATCATTATCGTCCGTCCGAATTTTTACAATATACAGGGTATTTTTATTATTAGGTATATACGTATATGTATACGATTTTATTATTAAAATGTATTTTTTTTTCGACCAATGTCATTGTAGTACACGGTTTTGTTGAAAATTATGTATTCACACGATAATAATAATAATACTATACCGCGATTTCTAACGTACGATTTGTTAACTAGAATTCGTGTCGCATGGTATATTTTATATTTGTGTGTCATAACGAATTACATTTGTTTTTCGACCATTATTACTCATTACTATTAGAAATTTAAAAGATAGTTAATAAATCGAGTTCGTGACGGTAATCGTGCAGATCTAGTTGATTTACGAATTAATTATTATTATTTTTATTATTATTATTATTATTATTATTATTGTACTTAATTATTTATTTATAAACTCAATATATTGCTCCAAAATAAAGTGAATACGTTTGTGATTTAATACTATTTATAAGTTTTTTTAATTTACACCTCTATACTTTTTTTTCTTAGCTTATTCCGGGCCTTGTAAGTCCATTACCGCATCCACCATACGTCTCCATTTCTCCCTGTCCTTCGCTAGTTGTTCTCCCTCTCTTATTCCCAGGAGCTTGAGGTTTTCTTTAACTCGGTCAATCCATCGTTGTCTTGGTCGTCCTCTCGATCGATTTTTGTCTGGCGTCCATACTGTGATCTCATGTACTGTTTAGCCCTCCGGGTCGAATATCAATAGACGGCCTTCCTTAGCCATTTCACTGACAAACGTAGTTTGATTTTTACTCTTAACAATAAAAAGGTTTAACATTACACTGCTGCCTCTCAAGCTCCGAACATCCATAATGCATCATTTGAACCTCCAACTATAACATGGTCTATTTGGTTCTTTATTTGCCTGATGGTGAAACCTAGGCTTGTTTGTGTATATCTTAATGCGGAAATGTGGTGCTAATTACTACTATACGTATTTCTAGTCATAGCAAAATTAATTAATCTATACTTTTAGTGTATAATATATATTTTGAAAAATCAAAAACATATCAACAGAATTCTTACCTCCACAATAATTCATATTGTGTTCTGCGATACGGCCCACACTGCATCGACCCTCACGTTATCAGTTCTTTCTATCACCAACCGAAGTTGTTATCATATTTATTGTTTACGAGTAAGTTTACCGCACACCGTAACGGATTCGCGTACTCTAGAACAACGGCAGTTTCGAAATGGTGTGCGATAAATGTGAAAAGAAATTAGGTGTAACTGCTACTCCTGATCCGTGGAAACAGGGATGCCGCAATGCGATCGACACGGGTTTGGTGCGTAAACAGGACAACAAGCAACTACAGACTATTGGGAAAATCAAAACCTTATCTGGGTCCAAAGTGTCTTCAAAGTCTGCTCTGAAAACAGGATCCTCTTCGGTTATGTATTCATTTGGTGTATGCAGAATATGTAAACAGAAAGTACATGAACCTGGGAGGCACTATTGTCAGAGTTGCGCATACAAAAAAGGCATATGTGCCATGTGTGGTGTACGCATTTTGAACACCAAATCGTACAAACAATCTGCCACGTAAATTTTAAAATATTCTTATCAACCCTGTACTAAGTTGGATAATAACTTGGATAAATTATTAATCCAAAGATAATATTGTTTCAGGAATTTATCACATGTAAATTATTCATATTATTATTGTAAAATATATTTGGTATTTATTATTTGTGTTGTAATTTAAAAAAATAACAATAAATTTTAATTATAAATATTAATCTTTAGTTTAATTATTTAAAATACATTAATATAAAAGTATAAATGTTTATACTGCCTCTACAGTTAAAATTTTCTTCTTCGTACAGTTTTGGTGATTGTTTGTTTGGTTATGCATAATGATTTTACTAGAAGCAGGAAATCCATCCATTAAAAGACAATATTTAGACCAAAATTTAAATGCAGATGATTCTGTTAAATTGACTCTAGTAGGTGTATTATCTTTTGAAACTGAAATACAATCAGTAGCAGTAGGTTTTTTCAAAGAAACACCAGCATGAATACTTTTATCTTTTTCATTGTCATCTATAATGTGTCCAAACCAAAAGATAACAGCTCCAGGACCATAACGATTCCAATAAGGAAACAGTTGTCGTTGCATAACGTTATGTAACTGTTCAGGACTACCAAACATCGCTTTTGACTCTATCCAGTTCAACACTCTAATGGTACTTTCATCACCTCCAACATAATGAGATGCAATGTTTTCTTGATAACAGTCCATGTTACTGTCATCGTCAGATAATATGATAGCAATGGGTTCATTGAGTACCATATCGGGTGTCATATCTAAGCCACGTAAACGACACTCTTTTTCAGTTTTAAAGAAAGAATTTTCTCCCTGTTGGTTAATCTTTGATTTGGCAACAGTAGTAAAACATGTCATACACTGTTTAAGGACTTGTTCATATCGACTTCCCGTGCAACTATAAATACAAATTCAAAAAAATAATTAAATAAATTCAAAAAAATAATTAAATAAATTCAAAAAATAAAATACCTTTTTATAAATTCAATGCATGACCCATAATTACTATCTACTATTGAACATTTATACACTTGGTAAGCTAATTGTGGATCGGTACGTATAAGCCAAGTAGAAGTACATAGTTGATGTATTGATACATGTAAATTTTTAGCATTCATTGAACAGGATGAATTGCTATTAGTAGAACTATTGAAAGACTGATTTAATACTTCAACAGGTGTAACCTTTTTCAATGAACGGATTCTAGCAGAAAGCCACTTCAATTGTTGCGATAACATAAAATCAACATTTACTTCAGTAACTTTGGTAGGAACAGGTTTATTGATACCATCTTGTAATATTGTACTACTATCATTTAATAAGGTACCACTGTCATTTAATATACTACTATTTGAACTTTCATCATTGTTAAAACGTTGCTGGCGATCTTTTAGTTTTTCATCCTGTATGTGATCTCCAACTACCATCTTTGCGACCAACATGGCTGGCATATATAAATTATTTGCCAATGTAATTAATGGAGATTTATCAGAATTGTTGGCTGCTAATTTTTTATATCTGATAAATACACACACACACACACATATATATATGTGTATATTATTATATGAATGCATAAAATAAATTATATTCAATATAATAATTTTGTAGGAATAATTCTTACTTATCATACAATGTCTGGGTAATTTTTACTGAACTTCCTTTATGTTGCTGTTGACCAAGCTTCGGTGCAATTGTTGATGAAGCTGATGATGGTACAGAAGTCTTAGATTTTGATGAATTATTGAAAACCTTGTAGTGACGATTACGTACATAATGTTGAACGCGAGCATCGATAATACTCAGCAAAGTGTTTTCATTCAAACTACAATAGAACATTAATAAGTATAATATAATTACTTTTTATCTGAATATCATCAGAATAAATCATTTTATGTTAGCAGTCTTTATTATCTTTTTTTCTACACTTCTTATTTCAGATAAATTCATACTAGATGATAATGGAATAATAAGACAGTATATTTTTTAAATCAATAAATAGTGATGAAATTATTGAAAACATTAATAAAATCAAAAACAAACTATTTTTATTAATATGAATTTACAAATCATATACACAAAAATGTCTCAGCATCGTTGATTGCATTAATCTGATAATCGGCGGTTTTTTTAATTTTTGAAAACATTAAAAAATGTTTAGTGGTTCAATGCAATAATTTTGCACATAACAACAAAATGTATATCTTACTAATGAATTGGGTTCTAAGCGTTTTTTCTAATTTTTATTAATGTGTTACAGATATAACATTTTGAAAGAAAATTTCAAATTTCAAGCTATTTATTTTATTTTATCTTATCTTATATATTTATACCTATAAATTATGTTTAGTTTAGTATAATATACTAATAACATTTTTACTGTTGTTATGTACAAGTATATTTAGTAAAATATCTTTATTTATGAAAATGTTTACATTAAAAAAATTAAGTGCATATTTTTAAAGCATATTTGTACTTTTTTAAGTGCATTAAGTTCCGAGCCCTAGTTATTATGTTATTCAAATTAGGTGATAAGTTAACATGTGAACATTTCTCAATTTCTATAACATTAGTTTGATCAACCATTCTTTAAAAATTTATCAAAAACAGAGTAGTAAATTTTTTTTAGAAAAACAGGTTTTCTTTACAATTAAATAACTTAATTTCAGAATAGACATCTACGAATCATGCAATTTTTCATGTTGATAATTTCATTTGAAAAAATGTTGATAAAAATTATAAAGCAATGGGCAGGCATATTCCTGGATGTACAAAAAGCTTATGATTAAATTAATCATAAATTATAAATAAAAAAGTAGAGTATTGAGTAAGTAAAATACTACAATTAAATAAAACTCATAACTTGCTTAAAAATTAAAATATCAGAAAAAGCCGACCAACAAAACATAGAAAATTTTCTACTTTTGAAGTTTGATTATAAATCAATTTAATATTAAAGCTAACATCACTCCATTTAAATTACTGAATGCAAACTTGCTATGTTGTAAGTTTGACTGACGAGTTAGACTGACTTGGAGCTGCATTATTCAAATATATCATTTCTTCATTTTTTAGTCAAATTGACTTTTATGTCGAATATATAATTGTATAATGGGGTAGATACAGCTCATGTTAACAGTCAATTAAAATACGTAGAACAACAGTTAAAAAAATTACCATCTTAGTGTGAGTAACGTATAATCCTAACAATATCAAGTACCTATATCATGCATGTTATCTTTGCTGGTCATTCGGACCTAAATTAACCTTTATTCAACAAACACTGTGGTCCAATATTCAGGTATACACATTTAATTTTATACAGAAGTAATAAACATCATTGTGTTGTTCATTTGATATCCATATATTTTACAAGATTGATGAGCCCTTGGAGTTCCACAACAGAGCTATAAATATTAATCAGAGAACATTAGAGTATCTAGTACAGGGATAGTCTAGCCAGCAATATATTATAGGGATTCCACTAGATAATTATATCATGGATATTTGCTATTTTTAATGAATACCAAATAGTCACGTTACAGAGATAACATATGCAGGTGTAGTATCTTCATAAAGGACCTAATACTGTGCTTTGAGTCACTCCACAATCTACATCAAAAAGAATTGGAATAAAATATTTACTACACTTCGTTTACCTGAGCGATCTAGTTTTTTTTTTTTTTATTAAAAATTTATAAATATAAACTTTTATATTTCATATATTTTAATAGATAGGAATCGTTGCTGCAACACAAGATTTGCTTCTAGGGGTAGCTGCAATATTGTAAGCTATTTTTTGAAAATGTAAAATACTGAATGTTTTTGAAACAATAAAAATGTTTATTATTATAATAGGTAAACATTGCAATGCAAAACCCACTCGATACTCACTGGGAATATTTACTCTTGACTGTCTTGGCCAGCTCACCATGTTTGTTTAGGATGAAATTGGTTTTGTCGCTGATCAGTGAGTCGATCCAATCGATCATTGCGTAATACTCGGAATTTGTGATGCATTTTTTCTTGCCCCTCACGACGGATCCGGTCGCGTCATCGTCGGCGGAACGAACGTCGATCTCCTCCATCGCCGTTGAATAACAAATGATCGCTTGCTACTCGTACCGTGATGTCAAAGCGTTGCGTTAAAATGGTTCAAAATTACGGTTACGGACCGCAGGGATACGAACTGCGCAACTCGCACGTTGTTCCAAATTTCCGTTGGACGAACACGACGAACAGCGAGACGGGTGATCAAAACGAACAGTTTGAAATTGATGCGAAACGTTCCTAGAACAACGTTGCGGGTGATAACGGTGCGCAGTGTGCCAGGAGCACGCGGCGATTTTCCCGCGGGTTTTCGGCGCGTGCCTCCAACGCGCCGCGCGCTACGTGGAAAACGTCGAAAACGTCGCCGAGACCGACACGACGGGAACGCAGTGGGACAAACGTAACACCGCGAGGGGACACATTTACCGTACGCGCGGACACCGGTCAAACAGCACGTTTAGGCGACGCGTTCTGTTTGAACAGCACTCTGGAACGCGCGCACGCCACAGTAATTAATCCGTCGTGCTGTCGTCCGTTAAAATAATTGCATTGCGCCGTGTCCTAGGCGAATCCGACAAACGCGATAATCGCTGTACGACGCGACCGATACGATTCGCGTTGCCGTCCGTCGACGCGATTGTCGCGGTGGTGTCCTAAACGACTAATAACCTAATACGATAATATTGCGGCGATCGCACTAATGACAAATGCGGCCGCAGCAGTAAACCATCGTGTCCTATAATAATGTAAAATATAATATTCTAAAATTTTATTATTAAGTTTAGTACGTACTAGGGCTGCCATACGTAGCAGAAAACCGGAATCGTCACCGGTGCCCCGGCTTAGACATTTAGAGGAAATGTAGTATTGTTTAATTTTTAATTTCGACCATTTTATCTCAAAGTACACTTTTAATCGTAATCGATTAACAATATATAATAAAACCATAATTTGTAATTTACACATATAAATACCTATGTAATATATTTTACTTTATTTTAAATACTATATTGCCGGCTATTAATGATCCTCTTCAGTGGCGTATACATAACTTTTGTGTGGGGAAGGGGATCATTTGCAAACAAATCATTATTTTTTTTTTTTTTTACGTTTCTGACGCCTACATACTAAAAACATTATTTAGCATAATTCTAGTTTAGCATTCTATCGACTTATTAATTTTTTTTTTCCAAAATGTGTGTTTTAAAGTGTATTATAAGTACCTATGTAAAAAAAAGAAGCCCGAACAAACTTCGTTTTGAAGTTATTGATGAAAAACTTAAAAAAACTACATTTTTTTCATAACGCGCATTTTTTTTTTTTAAATACTTAGAATTGAATATTTAATTTTAATTTCCACATATTTACATTTTTATTGTCCATTTTACCTAATTGAGGTGGTTTTGCATAGCAAGTCGAGGGATATTTTCGATTTGCGGAGCGGAGCGACGGCGCCGAAGAGCGAAGCGACGAGTGCTGAAACACTCGTATAATAGTTTCATTGGCCATTGTCGATACCACACGCATCGTTTGTAAAACATTTTTATTTCATTTTCACACTGTTAGACAATTTTTAGTGCATTATTTTTCATAAATACTTCGTATGTAGGTGGACCAGGGTCAATTGTTGAAATTGACGAATCAAAATTCGGAAGGCGAAAATATCACAAAGGAGATCACTTCAAGTTTTCAAAACGAAGTTTGTCTGGGCTTCTTTTTTTTTACTTACTTATAAAACACCCTAAAACATACATTTTGGAAAAAAATAAAAATAAAAAAAATCGATAGGTTGCTAAACTAGAATCGTTCCCATTATTTTATAACATTTAAAAAAGACCTTGGGAGGATCTGACCTCCACATCCCCCTCTTGAATACGCCACTGATCCTCTCAATATATTAAAAGTTATATAAAAAGTGTATTACTCAATATTGTGTTTGTGTTGTCCCAGTTCCGCCTTATAAATTATGGCGACCCATAATGTATACTATATACAGACTACAGTGTTGGTTAATACGTCTCTGCCATTACATTTATTAAATAAAATGGTTCTAACTGAAAATACAGTGCTTAAGCAGTGGCGTAACTGGGAAAAAATCTAGAGGGAGCAAAATAATTTATTAACCATGATCGAAATCCTAAGCTCCCTGTTTTAAATATATTTGTATTGCACGTACCTATACACTATACAGAATAACTGAAAAATGTATTAAAAATTGAACTAATACTCAGTGCTTTGGACATCAATAGTCTTTTTACATTTTGATGACATGAAATTGAACAATGTCAACTGACGTTTATTAGACATTTTTTTTAAGATGTAATTAATAATTATTAACAAATTACAGTAGAAGAATAAGCAAGTAAAGAATAATAGAACAGTATAGTCTATAGACTTCAGTAAAACACTAAAGCACACAATCGCAACACAATGTAAAGTGAAAATAATATTAAATTGTGTTAACTCATTGTTCATACTTGTAGGAGGCTCTAAATTCTCCACACACCAGGAAAAGATACACAAACACCACTATAATAAAAACACTATATATAAGTCGCACAAAAAAGGTTTATTGTAATAATAAAAAGAACAAAAAATAACAACACTCGAAAATGAATAACACAGGTGTACGGAAACCGGACACACTCCGATGACGCGCGCACGACAACGAGTAACTAAAAAAAAAACTTGAGCAGTGGTGCTGTTATCACCTTTATCACCCTAAATACTTCATGCAATGATATTATTAATAGATTATTTTTGATCCTAATCTAACTATTGATTATTGCAATAACATTTACAAGATAAATTTAAAATAAAAACTTCTATACAATTATTTGAATTATCTTATAACTAAAGACCGAATATAATTGCATTAAAAATAACTTAAAATTGAAAAAAATATACCAAAATTGCAATGAAAAATACTTTAAAACTATGTAGTAAAATCATATCATATATGTACATTAATTACTTACTTAATTAATATTATGGACATTAATATAATATTTACAAAATATATCATTTTTTTTTAATTTAAAATTTAAAATTATATACATTTTTAAATTATGTTCTTGAAAATTGTATCATCTGTTACTTAAAATATGTTTATATAATGAAAAAGTACGTTGAACGTCTACACTATTCATCGATTCGTATTTAAAATAATTTAAAAAAATTTCTTTTATATCTAAATTAACATTTTGATTTCCTGTTATAACCTCAGAGTAAGTTTTAATAGTTTTAGGTATATCCTTCATTTTTTTCTAAGACATTTTAATTTATCTTTAACTATTTTCCTATTGGGATCGGGAATATTAATCGAAATATTTTCAATTTCACTAAATATGTTTAAATTATTAAGTAATTTACTATTTGATTCTTTTAAACTTATGAGTTTTGCGGATAACTCGGAAAAATATAGTTTTAAAAATGCTAGACTACATTTAACTATATTTAAAAATGTACGTCGTAGTTATATTTTTATTTTAAAATTATTTTATAAATAATAATTTGTATATTTTATCATGTGAAGTGTACAAAAATTGCAATACTTGCAAAAATTGCAAAAAATTGCATTATTAAATTAAATAGGAATACTATAATTAATCCAATTCGTAAACATATTTGATTAGATTTGATTTACCTGGTATCAATAAAAAGTTATAATATCTATTAAATCCTGTCTTTAATTATAACATTTTAAATAATATACTACATTATTTCTTAACTTATGATAATTCAAATATTTGGATTATTTAAGAGGAGGCAAAATTATAACTCTCAAATTTATCAGGGGTACTTGCCCCCTCTTGCCCCCTCCACATTTACGTCATTATTTTTAAATATTTATTGTATAAAAGGTATGTAATAAATTACAAAATGTATGTTAAACAAATGTGAAATTATAAACTTTTATGTGTCCTGGTATAAAAAAATGAAAATATCGTTTCATATCAATTCAGACATTTTAAAAGACCGTTTAGTTTTTGGAGAGTTTTATCATTTATATTTTCAACTCCGGAATAATGACGATTTGTTTCGATCGTATACCAGGACGACCGTCTACTTAATAGAAATTATAAGACCAGAATTTAACTCAGAAATAAACCTATCTTTATATTTCCTGTTCCATTTATTCCATGGAACTTTTCTCTTTCGTAATTCCGCAATTAAAATCTCCATGGTAATATACGTACGAATCGTACGACGCAACGACTAGAAACAAACTATTTTGTTTTTCAATTCGTACGACTAAACGCATTCGAAAAATCCAGAGCCGTACCTAATCATTTTTTATCCTGAGGCAGTACTGAAGCAATGCGCCCCTTAGGTTGTAATGCTGTCACACTCACAGCTTTTAATATGTATAATAGGATTCGGAAAAATCTGAAAAATCGTAATTAGTTTTCTGGCGAATCAAGGAATAAAATTTCTTAAAACGAGTTGATTATTTAATATTTTCGCGCCCTATCAGGTTCAGGCGCCCGAGGCAAGTGTCTCGTTCGCCTCACCCTAGTTACGGCTCTGGAAAAATAGGACGCATCGGTCGTATTGACCGTGGCTACTTGCGTTTGTTCGTCTTTTAGAATCGCATCGGTCGGGTCGTATAACGACATCGCGTTCGTCGGATTCACCAAAGACACGGGAAACGAGTGCGAAAACACCCCTGCGGCGTTAATACGGTATGGCCGGCTTTCCGTCCGAGGCCGTCGGGTTGCGCGCGTTAACAAGCGTTTAACGGCTTTGGTGGCGTACACGAAACGTATCGTACGGCCGGTGGTCAGCGGGACGACGTTCGCGGCGCGCGCGAGCGTAATGATTCCGGTGCGAACGTTACAATTACCGGGCTTACCGCGCGCCGCGGAGGTCGTTACGGTGAACGACGATCGAATTTTTCGTAAACCTTTATGCCATTTAAAGGGCGTTGTTGCCGTGCACGTCGTTAGAACGCGACGCGAAAACGCGCGAGGAAATCTGATGGCAAAATAATAAGAACAGGCCGTACGGTTATTACGGCGCCTTTCGCGTACGCGCGGGCCCCCCGCGGTAATGTGCGCCGAGTACGCGCAATTTAGAACATATTACGACCGTTAAAACACGGCGCGCGCGAGCGCGGAACCACACGCGAAGACCCGGGGTACGGGGGTGTCGGCCGCGCGGCGAGTTTGTTGAACAAGTGTTGTTGTACGTGTACATAAACACTGGCGGCTTGTGGAAAGCTGAACGCGACGCGGCGGCGGAAACCGGTTGTCGCCGCCGCCGCCGCCGCCGCATACCCGTACGGCCACAACGCGTTTCCCTTCCACCCGTTCATCGTTCGCCGGCGATGAGCCGACGACGCGTAATGACGAAAAACGTACGTGTATTCTCGTAATATTTTAATAATTGTACTCTCCGCGTACAGGCCACCGGTGTGTGCACGCACACGCGCTCTCTCATGGACATGCGATCGCGCGCGCCGCCCCGAATCGTATATGCGTGTGCGGCGGCGGCGGCGGCGGCGTAAAAGTTGTACCGAGCCCGCGGGCACGCCGTGAAATTGTACACGCACCGCCGCCGCCGTACGCGTTTAAGGTGGCCGCGAACACGGCACCGTCGTCGTCCGCACTCGGCACCGCGTCAGTAGACGTATACTGCCCGCTGTGCGCGCACTCTTCAACCGTACGCGGTCCGTCCGTCTTCTCGTCGACCCGTGCTGATTAGGTAAACACCACGTATTATAAATAATAGTAGCACTATTGTAAATAACATGATAGCACGACGGCCGTTCTTGCACCGACGGCCCAACGACGCATTGCTGTTACGACCCGCTGTCAAAAGGATTACTGTTGAAATAATAAAACGCTGTGCGTTGGAGTACCCTGCGCGCGCGTGCACCATAATATAATGCTTGTTTACGCTTGATAATAATAATCTGTAATGATGGTAATTATAATATTGTTTGAATAATGCGTTATTGTTTTTGCTGTCGGAACAGATATTAGGCAGTACACCACATTTCGGGATCGCAGTCGGCGGTGAAACGTTTTCGAACGAAACAAGCGTCAACATTTCGAGTGAGTACCTGTTTATTGCTTGCACTTAAACGCATTGTTGTCGTTCTAACAAATATGTCTGCACGGCCGTTGAGTGTTATAATACTTGAAATATTATCGGTGTGCGTGCGTGTGTGTGTGTGTATAGGTAATAAAGTAGTACGTATACATAGAAATGTAAAACGGTTAGTGTCGTATAACGTCACACGCGTATTGTAGTAACTAGAGTGTACGACGCGCTCGAGTATGTACGTATTATGCATTATTAGTATGTACATAATATTTATTATGCGCGTTTAGGTATGCTACTCGTAAACGAATACGCGTTTCGTTAACATATAGGTCGGAATTTCTCTTTTCGCGCGAGATAAGCACCACTCGCCCCCGATACGCGGACGCACTCCTGAACAACGTATAATATACACAGATACGTCCGCCGCCGGTTCACCGGTGCACGTACGGAAGTTTGCGCCCACTGCCGACGGTTACGGTGCGTTGTAACGGTTGAACGAGAGACGTCCGGATGAAATGTTTCCAATCGAAATCGACGCGATCGTCGAGAATGCGTTCGTCGACGTGCGTTTTCAGTACGTGCCCACGCGCGATGCGTGCGGCGTGAACACGCAACAGGTGCCGGTGGGCCGCGGCGAGCGGTCGAGGGGACCGCGGTGTTTTTGTTCACGATCGCTTTTCGTCCCGCGCAGCGCCCCCGTCCGTCGCGCAACCCCGTTCGTCGGCTGCGCGCCGCGCACAACGCAACCGGACGCGACCTACGTGCGTCGACCGCAACGTTATTACGTTCGTAGCCGTTCGTTATTATCGGTTGGCAGCCCACCGGGGCCGAATTAGTGAGACACAATAATGACGGTGAGCGCGTACCACCTATTATACGTACGGACGTTATTGTTCAGAGCGCGCAGCTCGCCGTACCACGGAGTACACATTTATCGTACACACTTGTAGGTAATAATAATAACATATGTGTGTATGTGTGTGTGTGTGTGCGCGCGGGCCGGGTACAGGTTACGTCCACCCGCTCAGTACGTACCGTACACGTATGTAAACTTGTGTGTGCCTAGTAGAAAACCGGCCGGCGGCGCACTTTCACGTGAACGCGCGCGCTCGGGGGACCGACGAGAGTGGTATTACGTTTTCGGATTTCCTGCGCGCATCCGGTCTGCCGGTACGCCGTAAAGCGCAAGAAATCGCCACTTCCCCTGGGCGGTCGCCGCGACCAAACTTCCCGGGACAGTGACGACGCGCGACCGCGGTCGCCCCCGGCGCGCCTGACGTCCGCGCCTCATCGGTGTACGGCACGCGAGCGCGTTATCGCCGCGGATGACCGTGACATTGTGCCGCGCGCGTCGTTTTGGTATGCCGGGCCCGCGTATCCGGTTGGAGGTCATGTGCCGCTCGTGACCGCGGGTGAGAGTGGACCCGGCCGCGGCGGCCCGTCTCCGATGCACCGCGCGACCAGCTGCACCGCGTGTCTCCGCGCGCGCGTACAACAACGTTCGCGTGCAACACGACATTCGTGTCCGTGAGGACACGCGTTCGAGTTGTCGCGCGCATTGCGTACCCGCTATTCGGCCAAAGGGACGACCGGACAACGGGTCTACGATACCCTTTGATTGTGGCGAGCCGCGAGATAACCGTATCGCCCGTTCCGTCGGTGGTCGCACGAGCGATATTTCTGAAAACCGTTACACTCTCACTTTACGTCACGTACGTATCACACATGTAGGTTACAACTTTTACTCTTCTAAAGCTCGTCGTCCGCTTCATTCGTCTATTGCACGTTTTTTACAGAATATTAAGGGGGGGGGGGAATTATTAATATATTAACAAAACGCGGTCAACGAGTGTTTTCTCAAATGCGTACTAAACTATGCGTAGAGAGTTATTTTTATGCCTTCGATTTATTCATATTTGTAGTTTTTTGTTAACTCAACATATTTCATACCGTTTCAGGTTTCTCCTAAAAAATAATATTTATCTATTTCTCATTTAGTACCAACACTCGAGTGTTATGAATTTTTTTTCATGCCCCTACATGAATGCAACGTTTTACGAATAATATTTTTTTCGTCTCCCATTTCTCGTCCAATCTTCTCGAAAAAAAATAAAATTATTTTCCCGTAACCGAAATACTTCGTAAATAACTCCGTAAATTAAGACGCGACTAATGAACAAAAATAAAAATTCCGAGACACTACCAACCGTCTCACCCTCCTTTCTTTGCTCTTTTCCTTCGAAAATCCAAAGCCCAGTCATCGTGGGTTTATATATGTTTTCTACGGGAAGAGCGTTGCATCGGAGGGTACAATATGTCACGTGTCTCAACATTCCAATATAATATTCTCATCGCAACTACGGGCGAACGACTGCGTGCGTGTGCGTTGACGTCGAGACGTGCTTAGCTTTTTAAACCAAACTCGGTTGTGTTTACGATATTAGTACATTATAGTATATTGTATTTGCTCATCTCGCACGCTTAAGAGACCTATACGCGCATTTGTGTTTAATATTATGTATCGTATACGCATACGATACGCCGAGATTGTAAAAGTAGGCAAAGATGGTAGCCGTACCCGGCAGACAGGTTCTCTCTTTCCCGGCGCACCCACGACACGTCTAATAAACTGCATTCTTCGAGAGAAACACAATGTGACGTGGTGTAAGCAGCATCATAATATCTCCGTGGCTTGTGAGTTTATTTTTGATAAATGCTTTCATCGAATCGACCGACCAGCGCGCATTCGTTAACCGCACGAGGACTGCAATTGTTGCGCAGTCGGTTCTATATAATTAACATACTATTTACCATTATTTTAACTGTAACAGTTGTGTGTACACAGATAGTAATAAGATTCGTTTTTAATAACTGTGTTTTCATCATGTTTTCGTACGTTGCACACGCGTTTATCGGTGTCCTAATGATTCTTCTTGCAGAGCCCGTAGTAAAATCTTATAATGTGGTGGCCCCGGCCACGATGGAAGAGTGATTTGTTCACGTATTGTACACTACTGTTATTCATCACGATCACGACAACGTCAGACGCAGTTATGGCCGACGAAGGGCAGCATTGCGGTGGAGCTAATATGTCCGCTGTGGTATGGACGACGGCCCTTTGCACAACGCTATTGGTGTTGGTGGTTGTTGCGATTTATTTCATATACTGCAGAAGAAGAGAAAACGACTGGTCGTCCTTATGGTGGAAAAACAACTCAGGTATATTAACGTATATCTATAATACAATATTATTGTATTTTACTCAAACGTTTTTACGAATGTATAGATACACGAATTATAATATAACAATGAAATATTATTTATAAAACTTGTACTACATTTCAGCAGACAAGAACCTTGTATTGCAAACATCGCTTCCGACAAAGGACCAGCAACAGAAAACCGGTGGCACTGATAACCCAGCATTTTTAGTTGATACTTATATCGGCGACCGTGTTGGAAAAACAGGATTGACCAAGATCGTGCGTCTACCGCAATCGACTGTTAATGGTGGGTCGCTGGGAATTGAACTGACGAAAGAAAGTGACAAACAAATATATACGTGTAAACACAGCGATGGATCAAAAGGTAAATTCAACCATAGAAAAACTTAACGGGTTCCGTACTCGATAACATTTAAATAATAAAAAATACGGTCGAGCGCATTTTCTGACGGTTCATCAAGCACTACAAGTTTTTATACTAAAATGTTAATATATATATATATATTTATTTAACGTTTAAAATAAATCACCGTGTCATAAAGGATATCAATGTTTGATATGTAACATGCTTACATAAATATGTAAAAAATTTAACTTGTATAAACATGTATAATAAGCCCAAGTTAAATTTATTAAAGTAATATCCACGCATAGTAACTTATCGGCTTCATATAAATATAATATATATTATTGTGTTCATAGCTTTAAACGAAAATATTTTTTGTTCTACGTTTAATGTATATATAATTACGCACATTTATCATGTTTCAAATCGGCACAAGATTTGATAAAAACTTATAATTTAAAGATAAAATATATTTTAATAGAAAACCGCGATTAGGATTGGTCACAATTGCTAAATATTCGCTCGATACGCTTTCTCGGCATCACAGTTATGCTTCACAAACACGACATAATATACTTCTGTTTATTGTAAAAATACAACCACATGATTGAGTTAGTGGATCATGGATAATTTTTACTAGTAGGTGGATTTATACTTTCAAATATATGAGATTTATGTAATTTACACATTTTCATGAAAAAAATTAATGAGTAATAGAAAAAGACACTATCTACATTCGAATGTTTGATCATTTTCATAATATTCGAACATAATATTTTAAATAAATAACTATAATATCACTGAATATTTATTTTAAAACTGCATTAAATATTATTTATGAAATTAGATGTGTATACTATTCCTATATAATATTTAGTTATATTATGTAATTTATTCATGTCAATAAAAAAATCGAAATTATCTTAAAATCCTAAATAAAATCAGATGATAATAAAAATTTAATTAAAAAAATATTTTCAAGAATATTTCAATCAAATAAAATGTCTGATTTATAGAGCGGACGCAAATAAAGACCATTAAAAAAGTAAAAGCTGAATCAAAATTCAAGATATTTCGTAAACAACTATTACCTAATCATTATACCTTAATTATATTTAAAAAGTAAAATTACTGTGAGATTTTATTACTGTAACAATTTTTCAATTTAAACGAATTTCGAATATTTTCTATCGCATATTAATATATATATATATATATATAATTGTGTATATGTGTGTGTATATGTGTTCACATGTGTGAATTTATTAATTCTACTGAAACTTTATAATTTATATATGATATTCTAAAATTAATTAGATTTGAATGAAAATTCTTAGATTGAATTTATAATGCGTGTGTCTAATGATAAATCATCATTTTAAATTAATAGTCATTAATTTTAATAAACGGCAAATTACTTTTAAGAGACTTATATACTTCTTTAAATACATCGTCTGCCGGATAGTAATTAATAAGCAATAACGTGCTTGTGCAGACGTATTATTTCAAAGTGATATCATTAGTACATCACAAAAATATTGTAACTTATTTATTATTTTTATTTTCATATTATTAAGTCGTTATTTTAATAAAATACTTTTGAGGGAGATGTATAAATATATGGTTTAAAAATACATAACTTTTTAGGAAAATTTACTATAAAATATTATCATTATTACATTTTTTAAAATATTTTTGGTATTTAAAATTTTACTATAACTAAAAAAGTAGTCACTAATCCAATACATGTTGACGCTTGTCTCTACCGAATACTATTATCGTTTCGATTTGTAGCGTAGAAAAATTATTTTTCATGTGTAAAGAATATCCACACGTAAGCAAAAATACACCACGTCTTTATCTCTACTAGAGGTAAAGATTTGGTGTTTTGTCACTTTTGTACGAATTTGTCACAACGTACAGGTACTTTTGTCCGCGTTGTTCGTTAGACGGGAAAAACACCCGATAATGATAAAATGTCGAAAATACTGAAAGTAAAGTTGATGAAAAGTGATATAGATTTCAAAATTAAATAGAAAATTCTCGATATAGTACATCCAACTATTCAAGAAGTATAAAATTTGTAAATAACTACTGTAGTAAAATAATAATGAAAAACACAAGTTCAATTTCATGTAAATGATAGCATCCATACGTACAGCTATAATGTGTCTATACGTTCATTCATGTAGCATTATGCTGTAAAATAATAAATTATACGCTTATATAGTTGTATGTTACAATTAAAAAACCCGTATAGTTTCACTTATAAATACTAATAAGTAATATTAAATAAGAAAGTGCGTATAAGTATGTTAAACGTTGCGCTCAGAAAATACTTCGTTATTTTTCCCGGTTCGACGAAAAAAATTTATATCCCTATGTGTAAGTGCATTTGATGAACACGGAAAGTGTGAAAAAAGGGCGTTAAAACGCTCGAAAATAATGATACCTAGAGACGTGTATTATTATTAGGCGCGCGTGGATAATACGATCAGTAATGTTTCATTATTTGTGCTTTGTGTACGTAGAACGGCTGGTAGCTTTGCGGTTGGTATTCGATAAGGATCAACAGCAGCAACAGTGCGGTCCGCCTTCGGATCTGAGCCGGGCCCTGGTCGAACTGAGTAGCAGATACGGTTTGCGCGTTGAACTGGAAACCGAAGGAGAAGTCGCGGTGGTGGCACAGCCGACGGTGGCGGCCGAAAAGAGCGACGAGGAAACGGTCAAGCTCGCGAAACCGAATCTTTTGTCAACGGTCCGGGACAAGGCGCAACGTCTGTGGCATCAGGGACAAGTGGTGTTCAAAGGCGTTGACCGCGCGGACATCGAGAACGACGCTGGTGACCTGGAAAGCGCGGAGAGCGGCCGTGCGGCCACGGGCGCCGCGCCGATGCAAAAGCTTACGTGCACGGTGACGACGGTGGACGAGACCGCGACCGCGGTGCAGCGTGAGGCCGACACTCGGAACGGCAGCGGATCGTTGCGGTACCGGACGCTGGAATACGGAGCTTCGCCCGGAGACGCCGCAGCGTACTCGTCCCCGGACAGCGGCGTTCAGTGTTGTTCGGTCAACGTGCCGGAACCCATCGCGGTGGCTCCGGTGTCGTCGGTGATGGCTGTGGCGGCGGCGGCGGCGGCGGTCGCGGACGTGGACGTGGCTCCGGATCGAGGCGCAGTAGCGGCGGCTTCGGATCGAGACGCGATCGTATCGGGTAGAGACGTGACTTCGACAGCTCCGGATCCGCAACACGCGGCTGTAGCTGCACCGGATAAACATGCGGTGGTCGGCAACAACGATGACGACGAGAAGTTATCGACGACCAAACCGAAACATACAGCACCAACTAAGCCGAATCGCAACGAACCTAAGACTACGGCACCAACAAAACCGGATCGCGACGAACCGAAACATACGGCACCAACTAAACCGGATTGCGACGAACCGAAAACCACGGCACCAACAAAACTGGATCGCGACGAACCGAAAACCCCGGCACCAATCGAATCTAATCACGACGAACGAAAACATACGGGGGCCAACCCTCCGCCGCCGCCACCCCGCAAGTACAGCGCGCCCGTCGTACCATCGGTTGTGACCGTTCCGCGTTCTACCGCTTCCAGTACTGCTGACGCCACTACTGTTATCGCTACCGACACCGATACTGCTATCGCTACGGATGCCGCCACGGTCACCGACGCAGTACAACGGCCTTCTACTGTTTCGGATGCATCGCCCGCACTGCCGACCACAGGCCCGCCTCGGGCCATGAACGAAATACGAATGGACGACGACTATTACTGGTGCACCACAACCGCAATGGCGGCGCCGCAGATGTCAACGTTCGGTAAAAGCCCGTCGGCGACTGGCGACACAGCCGAAGCAACAAATCGTAACGGAAACGCGGCCGTCCGCAATGCTGCTGCAACGGTAGACGAGAAAAGTGCTGCGGTAGACGGGAAATACGCGGCGGTCGCGATGACGGCAGACGACGTGGGACGGGACGTGGTGAGCGCCACCGGCACCACGACCAGCATCGAGGACGCGTCGTTGCCGTCGTTTTCGTCCGACGAGGACGAGGACGACGACGACAACGGCGCATTCACGGACAACAAAGCGAAGTTGCCGGCCGGTACAACTGTCGAACCGCAGAACGGCAGCGGTGATAAGGCGTGCAACCGAGAGGTCGGCATCAGTAGCGGCTGTAAGAACGTGGCCGCTGCAAAGGCCGACTGTGACGCAGGGCCCACCGTGGCGGAATCGAAATCGCCCACAAGGTTGCCGACCCTAAGGTTGTCCCTGTCCTCCCCGCTGTCCACAACCGCCACTACGTCGTGTTGCTCTTCTTCGGCTTCATCCACGTCGTCGTCGCCCACGAACAACAGCAGTAGCAACCACAACAACAACAATAACAACAACTCGCCAATCGTGTCGAAGATACCGGTGCGACGGCAATCGGCCGGCAGCAGCATCGGCGCCGCGGTCGTTTCCTCGCCAATGCCGAACGGCACCACGAAAAAATCTATACCCTTGCCGCTGTCTAGGAGCGGTTCCCGGTTAGCTATGTGGTCGTCGGCCAATTGATGTTTTTTCGTCCCTCAAACATTTATTATCGCAATGTAGGTATTTACTATGCATACCAATAGTGTTTTTAAATACATTTATTATCACAGTACTATATTATTATTATTTTTTATTATTATGCGAAAATTAAAATATACTTTTTTTTTTTTTATTATTATTTTTATTATTTATTTTAAATATATTATGCGTGTAAAATATAAACTATTTACTAAATGTGCGAATCATGATCCATTTAACGCGTAGAGATGTACCTACATTTTTACGCCTTTGATTTCATCGTTATTCATCGTTCACCAACATGTATTTTCTGCGACTGCATTTGTACATCGTAAGTAATTGTCGTGTTCCGATTGAAAAAAAAAAATGAAAACAAAATAAACGTTTCTAATAGAGAGTATGCTGTTGTTTATTAATTAATGCCGGGTCTGATACAACGCGGTGTACGCCCGCGTTCATCGTATTTATATTGTTAAACGGGACGATAGCCATAATCGTGTTGCGCCGCTAAAACCAATGGTTTCACCGGTTGTCGCGCCCGCGGAACGACGACTACAACAACAATAACGCCTGTTTGCTCGCCTCCGGGTGGAGGCACAGCGGCCAACATTGGTCGACCGCCACGCTATCAGCGGACCTCCTCCACCGTTTCCCACCGACGACTCGGACTCGTATCTCGTACCCGTAACGGGACGCGCAGCAACAAACGTCCGTGCTGTTATCAGATGATATTTGGTAAATAACATATTATAATAATAATAGTAATACACACTGTTGTGTTTCGTGTTGATGCCGCTGTGCGTTTCGTGCACACCGATGCGCGTGTGTTACGACGTGCAAATCTTAATTGCCGCTCTGCGTTCATCATAACGTTATCGTGTTGCGCACGGTCAACATAATACTGCGATGCATTGCAGCGAATTGTACGGCACGCGTCCAACAACTTGATAATCGTTCCGACGGCGATCGTCCCATTGTCGCGATGCGTTTTCGCACTTGTGTGCCCGTTTCTGCATCCGCCGCCGCCGCCGCCGCCGCCATCATCGTTCTTTGCATTGTTTGCCTTTGGGAATACACCGGTGTAGAATAGCGCGACAATCGCCGCGATCTCGTAAGTATAGCGATAACCGCGTCCGTTCGGCGCTCGCATGCCATGGTCTGACATTTGTCCGTCCCATCGTTTACGCGTTGAATGATCTTACGGAAATGCCATAGGACTTTTGGAGCGCCGTCGTCCCAATGGAACCCGTTGGCCGCACTAATAACTCTAGCTCGACGACGGCCACTGCTGCCAGCGTCACCTCGGCCGTTGTCGGACTCTTGCTGACACCCGCTCGGACTTCGGTCGACGTTAATATTCCAAAGACAACCGCGTTGGTCCACAGTGATAATCATGTAGTGCCTTTGCAACACTGCAGCACCAGCACCAATGTCGTACATCACCAATATTCTCCTATTATTTTACCACCGCCACCATCCACGGTATTGATCCGTTCTACTCAGACCAATTCATTGTTGCCCGCATCGCCTCAGCTAATGCTGTCGACAATAGCAACAACAACCTCAGGAGTAGTATCACATTTTCAACCGCATGGTAACGGATCTCATCAATTAGTTACTGCTTCCACTGTACCTGTGTCTGCCGCTCTTCCAGTCATGCCTACTTCAAACATTACTTCTGCTGGTATGGCTTTAAGTCCTTTTGGTATTTTGCCCCATGAGCGGGTAGTACCACATCATACTCTTCATTATCGTCATCAGCCCAAAAAACTGATGTCCTCGTCATCATCTAAAACACTTATGGATCCTAGTAACTCTAATAATCCTCAAATATTAACTACACCGGTTATCCATTCTCAACGATTTTATATTGAACCACCATCTCATGTTAGTAACAAAATGAAACAGTACGACAACATTCAGCAACAACATATTAGAACCAAAAATGTCCATAGTATCTCAGATAAAAGTGTACCAGTTGTATCCAGTCCATATAATGTACAATCATATGAACAACGTTACCAACCAAGAACTTCACCACAACAAGTCGGTTACTTATCAGTTATTACTCGTACAGCTGTAACAACAACAAACAGTGTTGTTTTAAATGATGTAATAGCATCAAATAGTAATTATTATCCACCCCAACCTATACCGTTGCAGTCAAAAACATCTGATAATCAAGATAGGCAGTACTATCATTTTGACAGTACAGTCTCTGCAAGCCATACACCTCAACAGCAGTTGGATAATATCTTATTAATGGGAACTCCAGTTCAACGAGGCGATCCTATGCATATTGTTAAAAATTTACAATCTATGCAGACAGACATTGATGGTTATGGTGTTAAAAAAATGATTGAACAACCACCTAGGTTATTGACTACTGATAATTGTAAAACTATAGGATTCACTGGTATTTTAAGTAATGGTAGTAAAACCATAACTGACCATCAGCACCAACATCTTCAATCGCTACCTAAATCTTCTGTGATCGACCCATCAGCAACATACAATGGCCAATACTTCATTAGACGCCAGCCACCTCCTGCACACCTTCATCAGCATCAAAATCAACCACATTTACAACAACATATAGTCACTGGTAATACTAAAATTTTATCTACTCCTACCTCTTTATCTGTTTTATCTGCTAATGGAAACACACCTTTGGATGTACAGCAGTACCAACGTCACCTACGTTGGAATTTAGATCAACAAAGACCACCTGTTGTATCGACCTCATCTTGTTTTTCAGGAAATATTTCTTCAGGTGTATTTCATCAGCCATCACTGCAACATCAGCAATTCAACAATGTACCTTCAACATTCAACGTGCCACCATCAACATCAATTATTCATCAAAATCAACAGCAATTATCACAACCAGTTCAACATAATAATTTCAATGCATTATCAATAAATCCTACATATTATAATCCTGCATCTACAATTGTGTCAACTTTTGTCACTTCTGTAGCAACAACCAACTCATCAATATCATCATATAGTCGACCACATCAGGTTAATCAGCCCCAACATTCCAACAATTTTCAAGAAATCACTAATAATGTACATGATGGGAATTATATAGCAAGTAACGATACTAGATCATCATCTTTACCTCATGTTATAGTTCCTAATATTGAACAAGAATTGAGTCATCTTTGTGATATTCCCACTACTACTTATAATAATGTCGTTAAACCATTTAATACTACCGTTCAAAAACCTTCATTTTTAGATAGTTATGTCAAATTTTTACGTGGTGGCGCTAGCTGTACAACAGTAGAAAAAGAAGAAATATGTTTTGATTTACCGAAAAAGTTAATATATCCTTTATCATGTTCAACTCCTAAACCTATGCCCAAACCATACATACCATTAAAAAAACCAAAGATTGTATCAGTAAGCGAAAATTTAACACCATCTCGAAATGGTTCTAGCGAAGATAATAAAAAGATAAGCAATGTTACAACTACAACTGATGATGATCCACGGTATTTTCCATTGCCTAAAACATCATCATCAATAGCTGGTATTAGTGATGATAAAAGTGATGGTAGTAATGATGGTAATAGTTGGATGTCAGGTGATGATGATCAAGAACAGTGGTGGATAACTTCATCAAAAAGACCATTCAATTCTGCAACATCGGTAGCAAAAAATAAATTAGGAAAAGCGAGTAAAAAAAAGAAAAATAGCGGTAAAAAAGTTTCTACAAATTCTGCTAAAGCAAACAAAAAACAAAGTATATAAAAAACATAAGTTATTTTTTATTTATATTTGTCTAATATTTACTTTTTTTTTCAGAAACACAACATACTCAACAGCCTAAAAGACAATTATCCCGTCGATTAGCAAAAGAGAAAACCCAAAAGTTAATCAGTAATATAGATGGTGTATTAGATGAAGATGATGATTTATTGTCAGAACCTGATTCAGATATTGACCCTGCCTGGAAACCAAACAGTGATGATAATGATGTATCTAAAGACGACTTTAATTCAAATTTGAATCGTCGTAATTTCAGTCATAAAAAGTTTTCAAAAAGTGATCATACACCATCTACATCATCATCAATCAATAATAATAACAATGATCAGTCTGATGATTCAAATGCACCATTGTTTAAGGTATTAATATTATATTAAATTTTATTTTTTTTTTAATTTTTTATTAATTTTGTTTAGTCTGGTACATTTGTTGCACTAAAAAGTCAATATTTAAATAGTGACCAAAGCATTCCTCAACAATTGTGGCGAGTCGATGGAAAATCATTATTACAAAAATATAAACGGTGTAATGGAGATAATGTGTATAAAAGTGTGTCAACTGTAAGTTATAAAATTGAAAAATATAGGCTGTCATATAGTATGCGGTCTACCAGTAAACGCGTTCTATCGGCTGCTGCAGAATGCGGTCTACCTGCGGTTTTTACATAGGCTTAAGTTTATTTTTAATAGATACACCTTAATCTTTTTCTTCGATCAACACTTTATATTTATTGCCTTATACACAGATAACAATATTTCGATATTTTGTAAAAGTATGGGCTCAATAGCTCAGTATCATTTATTGCGCGACACAATTTATATTTTACACATTCAATATGTTGGCAAAAGATTTTTATTCAATTATTAGTAGTGACGAATCAACCACAAATTTTTTAATTAGCAAATAATGAAAATGGTGAATAGAGTGTGGAAGTGCTATGAATTTTTATACATATTGCAAATATCTCATGGAAACATGATGGCGTGGCATAAATAAATCAGATTTATTTAATGCATTTTTAAGAGATATGGCGGAAGTTTTTGTATAACATATTACATTATATTTATTTATATTCATTGACAACAATTTTTTTGACTAACTAATTTTTAATTATTAATTTTTTACTATTACTACTACAATAATTATACTTAAATTTTATAATATAATTTTTAATTTATTTATTTGTGGTAGACCGCATACTATACTCGTAAATTCACCGGTAGACCGCATACTATATGACAGCCAAAATATAAAACTGAATTATAATATATATTTAAACTGTAAATTGTAGTATACTGGCTGGAATCCATCACATTATAGTATGTATCGTCAAGTTACTGTCCAATTTGTTCCTACATACAAGGGTGTAAAGATTGTTCAAAATAAGAGTTCCACTCAGGTTTTGGTACAGTTAGTAAGTGATGACGATAACAAAACCATAAAAAATAATTCTGTTGTCAACACTGAAGTCGATTCATCAAATTGTAATTCTATATCTAAATCAAAAACTAAGGCTTTTCATTCTGTTTCATCTAACACTATTGATTCTGCCAAAGATCAAAACGTGATGCTACGTGCCCAATTTGATGTGTATATTCAATCTTTAGCATCACAAGCATTAGACCAAAATTTTTTGGTAGAAATTTATCGTGAAAATGGTAAGAGTTACAATTATCATTAAACATTATGTACTCGTTATAATATATTTTTCTATTTAGATGAATACTTTTTAAGCAATGTACGTGCCATTGACAAAGTAACACAAACTTGGGTGGAGGCCATAGATTCTGCCATTATAAGAGATTTAGTGACAGATTTGACTAAAGTAGAAAATATACGTACATTGATAAAAAGATATCCAACCATGGAAATGTATACAACAGATGAAAGCTCAGTTCATAATATTCAACTGCGTTGCATAGTATGTGGCTATCAAGGATTTGTGGATAAACAACGAAAATTTGTTGAAATATCATTGTCTGGTACGGAGTACAATAATCGGACATTAAAAAATTCTGAAAATAATAGGCCATTTTCTAAGGTGATTGTCATTAAAATAAAGTTACATTTAATACATTAGTTACTTAGCAAATATATAATATATATTATATACCACTAAAATTAGTCTATGTTACCTTGTAATTAATAAAATCCTGTGTCTATCACCAAGTATAAATATATATCTGGTATATTATGTAATGTATATAATCATAGCTCAGCGCTTTGTCTCTTTCTACATGCATCATTATAGTTTTCTTAAATGTAATATTTAAATTTAAATATATTTTAATTTGTTGATTTTATTTTTAGATTATGCCTGCCAAGCGAGTGAACTGTTGTTCTAGTACTCAGTGTTCTGAAAAGGTCATTATTTTGCATAGTCTTGAACACCTTAAGTATCAACTTTACCAAGAATGTTGCAAACGTGTAACTATTGAAAATAATAATAGGAATAAATTAACTCAAGACACGACTACTGTTCTTAACCGGTTGTTAGCAGATGATACATGGATTGAAAATGTAATACATTATATAATGTTTTTATAATAACATAAATATTTAATTTAAATATTATTTTTATAGTTGTATCAGACTGTATGCAACACATGGGACCGAGCCAAGAGGTTAGTTTCCAACGATCAATAAGTTCTGCTCTGTTTATTTTATTAATTTAATTATTTTATGTATACGATATTTTAAAAATGTTCGTCATGATTGGTTATTTAAATAACCACAGTTGTTGGTGGTCTTATCACGTTACCAATAACTTGTTAAAATGTTAGTGCCTTTTCATTATTTATTGAATCCATTTCATTATTGCCATTGTAAAATTTTGTATTATATTCAAATTTGCCAGCCAAGCCTTTGTACTTTTGAAAGTTGAATAATTTATTTTTGTATGCTATTTATGTTTGTTATTTATTGTCATAAACAATTATTATATTGTCATCACATAAATAAATATTTATATACATGAAATATCATTATAAATGTTACCACCGAAGTCTGTCTACTTATGTTAACTGAGATGAAACGTATAAAACCAAACATTATTAATTAAATCTTATGTTTACTTCTTTTAGAATATTTTAAACTAATTATTACACAAATGATAGAATATATAAATTGAGTTGGTTATGATTAATTAAATTAGTAAATCAAGTTTAAATTATTGTTTAAAAAGACTTACTTAAAGATACAATCAATTATGATTACTGATTCCTAATAATTGTAGCTATGGGAGTAACTGATTTCCTTTTAAGTGTAATATGTATATGGGTGCTCATCGGGAGGGTGAAAGAAGGGACACTTGCCTACATTACCTGAAATGATATGAACTTCTTAAATAATAAATATTATTATTATAAGGATTTGATTAATAAGTATAATATATAAATACAATTTTTTTCTTTTCCCGCCCCTCATTATCTTTACAAATGAGTGCCCATAACTTGGTATTATTGGTGCTGTAGTATTAAATAATTATTTTTATGTATTAATGTTTTATTTTAAATTTAATTTGATGATTTTTTTTCGGTTTCATCAATTTATTTCCTGATGATAAATTATACTAATAGATATTCATTCATGACTATTGCCTATTAATAATTATTAAATTGATATTTTCAATAAATCTTTGTTAAAAAGTGAATGGACTTCAATGCTAACACATAAATATATGTATACATATATATATATTCTATATTTTTTTACTAACCCAATTTATGTATAGAAACAACTGTATTTTTTATAATAAATATTTTAGTATCATGACTATTTAAATATATAAAAAGTAAGAAGTATTTTGTATACTATGTAAGACCATTTTTTTAATGTCATTCAATCATCTACTCCAAAAATATATTTCACAGTAATGAAATGCTTCTACTAAAAATTAAAAATATATTGAACATAACTACTAATAATTTAAAAAATAGTTCTAATATATAGTTACTATGAATATGTTTTAAACATAAATAATTCCCAGTAAGATAAAGAATACAATGATTTGTTTGGAACGCAATGACTCAATGATCATCTTAAGCTGTGTGACTTAATAAGACATTGATATTTGCAAAGATTCGTTGTTTATTAAATTAACAACAATTTCTCAATAAAAGCAAATATACAAACTGTATTTTTTCTGTGTTGTTTTTGTACCAACAGAATTAGTTAATAAATATTTATTTTAAAAAAACTAGGTTGAGGCTTTTGGACTTTTTTAGCCTTAAAAAGACAAATTTTTCAATTTTATCATTGATAAAAATATTTTATCTTATAAAATATTGGGTTCATATTCTTTGCAAAATGTTGGAACTTGAATGAAAACTTAAAATAGTGTTAAATATAGAAGTTAGATTCAATTTAATGCATATTTTAAATATTTTTCTTATCAAAAGTAATTATTTATTGATCAAAACCCAAATATAATTTATTTTTTAGTTAAAATATATTTGATTACTGTAAGTCACATATGACATATTAAATAATTATTCTTTTTCAAATACTTTATTTTGGAATATATGTCGCGCCGAATTTATGAAATTGCTGATTTCATGAAATCAGCAACGTTGTCGCCGAATACGTGAAATCGGCAACTCAAAGTACATAATACTGCCTTCTTAAAATAGACCCTTCTTAAAAAATTATAAAGCATAATTTAATTTAAATAAATGTATAAAATGCTGGAAATATAATGTAATCAAATTGTAATAATGAATATTATATGTATTTAAATAAATATGTAAAACACCGGAAATATAATAAAATAATAAATACAGTTTATTGCGTAAAAAAGTTAATAAAAAAAATTATATTATACTTAAATATTTTGGCAAGTATGGCCTGGGTGACACGCCGAATTACACATCATATTATTTTTTTTACATGTGCAATTCGTATGACAAGTACAACATCAATATATAGCCAATCAATAGCCTTGTCCGGTCCCAACTGACTCCAATCCAACAAGTTCCCGTAGTGAATATTCTTTTTGTTGAACGTCTGCAGTCGTCAGGGAACAGTACTTTGTTAGCTGCCAAACTGTTCCGCTTCAGCCATGTGCTTAAAATCCCTTCTTTAAACCGATACGAAATTTGCCATCTTATTCTTTTATGATAACTACAAGAAAGTTGGCTGCATTACCTCGGCTTCGATCCACAGACGGGATTGACACCAGCACATTGTCACCAACTTTTAAAGAAAGGACATTTTCAATTACTGCCATAAGACACTATTTGTAATTATATCATAATAATATGTTACCGAATTCGTGTAATCGGCAGAAAAAGGCTGCCTAATTCACGAAATCAGCAATCAAAATTTGCCGATTTCGTGAATTTGGTAGCCAAATTTCCGGATACACGTATTTGGCGACAACGTTGCTAATTTCATGAAATCGGCAATTTCATAAATTCGGCGTACACGTATAAAAACACCCAAATATCTGGGCCCAACCTTCGACAAACGCCTAACATAGGCTAAACACATTCATATAACAAAATTTAAATTAAGCCAACGTCTACTCTCTCGGACCCATTCTTGGTAAGTTCTCAAAACGAATGAAAGACGATGGGCAAAATATATGTTTGGTATTTTAAATACCATAAATGCACAAAAATGTATTCGTAAAAATGTCTCAAGTGTATACTATATTTTCTAAATAAATAAGCAAAAAAAATTTCTAACCGCTTCAAAAATATATCATACATAAAAAAGTAACTACTTACACAAGTAGTTGTTAGACAACTCCCAATATTTTTACAACTTAAAATTTATTAAAATAACATTATAATTAAACTTAATACAGACATTTTTGTTCAAGGTACACCGTAAATAACGCAGTTATTGCTGGTACATTAAATACAGGACAAGGTCACTCCCAATTAGAACAATTTTCTACCATTTTATATAATATATAAAATATTATGCCTTGCATGCAAGGACTGGAACCGAACCCCAAACAATCCTTTATTTCAAAAATTTATTTATTATTAATCTCCAAATTCTACTTTTTCAAACATGGGCCGTTTTGGCACAGCATTATGAGATAGATTTCACTTCTTTATTAACATTAAAATACTATCTTTTCTCCCAATCGCTTTAACTTACACACAAAAAGCCTTTTTTACTTATCTTAAATACTTTTTTGTGCGTATGTATATATGCACAAAAACCTAACCTAACCTAGTCGGTACATAACTAGAATGGGAATTTGTATTATCTAAAATTAAAAAATTATATTTTCCTATCTGGATTTTAATATTGTTTGTAAATTAAATTTGAGTTGATGAAATCTTGTAAAAATATATACACTCGTTTTAAATAAAGATTAATAATTGTTACGTTTTTACATTTTCTATGGTAAAACGAACGGAACATTTTAGAAACAATTGCGAAACCCTATAGGGCTCCACGGATCACAGTTTGAGAATTGCTGCACTACACCATTGGTTATTATCAAAATTATTTTTATTTCCATCTACTCTAAGAACCTATGTATTTACTTATAATTGAAAATGTTTTAAACTTACTTGTCAAGGTAAAAACAAATAATTATTAGTTTATTTTATGTCTTACTATCGAAAAATGTATAACCAGTTATAAAATAATATACTTGATAAGATTTAAATATAGGTATCCTAAACTCTAAAGTAAATAAATGGGCCTGATTTTCTATGTGACACTTTTTGCTTAATGTTGTATTCTATAATATACCAAAACAAATAACTTATAATTAATAATTAATAATTTTTTTACTGTATAATTTTATTTATTTTAGAGTATGTTTATAATACAATTACATAGTCAAATTGGTAGTACATATAAATTTATGTTTAATTTTACTATACTTTTTAAATTCTAAGAACTGGGTGTAAGTTATATAAATGCGAAAAGAGTTAAATAAATATATGAAACATCATTAACTGTAAATATGAAGGTTTACTCGCATTAAGCTGTTAGATCGTACATAGAAACATTACTTTCGTGTATCTTAACTAAAATTATTTCATTGTTATCACTAATTACTAATTAGTTAATTGACCACGTCATAATCGACGAGACGTGACATTTCCACTGCATAATTTTAATTTCTTGAAATCATATTCATAAGTCATAACTAGGACACGGATTTAAATACACTTAAAATCATACAAATATGTTCTAAAAAATAGCCAAAATTGTCCTTAAGAAATGCATTTTACCACAAAAATGACCTTAAAAATGCCATAATTTTTTTTACTTTGGGCATTATTTAACACACTATTCAATACATTAAAATCATATTCACACGTAATACGAGCCACATCTGTGAGATAATACGAACTAGCTGATTATTTGTTATTTGATCAAATACTGGTGACGTTCAATAGTCAATAATAAATTAAGATAAGATGAAAACTGAATCGAAAACATTTTTTATTTAATAAAGATTGACAATGCGTTTGGAAAAATCTGATAGATAAACCTATTTAAATGTCAAGAAAATAATTTGTCTCTTGATTTTATTTTGAATAGGCTAAATTTGTTTAGTATATAGAACAAATATGCATTAAAAACCAACAAAATGACCCAATAATACTAAAAATGCTCTAAAAATAAAAAAACGTCGAAATAAGCAAAAAAATGCAAAATAAAATTTGTAGTTTTGAAAACCTCGTTACATGAAACGAATCATTTTATTAAAGAGCATTATGTATGATCAACTAAAAAAATATGCACTTTGCATTGAAATCCGGGCCCTAGTCATAACATATGGTTGGTATTTGTTGGTGACGTGGTTTAAAGTTATAATTTCAAAACATACGTAAATTATAAATAAAGAAATCTAAAATGTGAGCGTAAAAAAAATATAATTATTATTTCTAAAAAAAAAAAAGGAAAAACATTAATAGTTAATGTATGTTTAAACTATCAAATGTTGGTTTTTGATGAAATTGAGTATAGATCGATAAATCATCATTAATTTTTTTAAACAACAATCTAGTTAATTTTCAATAGGGTATGCTAGTTAATTTGAATACAAAAAGCATGACATTTGAATAGTTTGTACCTACTTTATAAAAAGTTTAAATGTATTAAAATAAAAAATTATGATATCATATTAATGTTTTAAGAAAACTTTTAATCATTTAATGGGAATTAAAATATATCAAACAAAATATAAATGTATTTATTGGATAATGGATAAATAATATTATCTATTAAAAATGTTAACTAAAAAAATCAAAAACCTTGTATCCAGTGGCGGACACTAAAAAAAAATGGGGGTAGTATATTAAATAAAAAAAAACCACCAACCCATCTGCCAAGTCACTTTCGAAATAAAAAATAGATCCTTGGGGACTTTGTCTCCCACCCCTTGAATATAACTGTATAACCTTGTTGATAATTATAACTATAATACTAATAACATATTAAATAAACTATTCAATTTTTTTTTTTGTTCGATCTTCAACTTAATCAACTTAATCAACTTAATATTATTCAGTTATAAACTCTTGTAAACAAATAGAAATTAATGTAATAAAGCATTTTCTAATATATAATTAACAAATCTAATATACAATTGAGAAATATCTCCAATTGTCTGTAATGTAATGGATGATAAAATACTCATTAGTATTTTGTCAGTTACCTCTATAATAAGCTAATGACAATATTATTCTATTGTTT